TTGACCACTCTCTGGCTGCTCTCAAACATATTGAGTCTTAAAGATAAGTATAAGATTTCTAGCATCTGTGTCTTAATATTAGCATTCTGGAAACTGGCTGTCAAGTTAATGAGCACTTGGATTAGCAACCACATGCAGTTTTCATTCCTGTTGACATGCGAGCGTGTTCTTACTAACTCTATAAAACCTGATGATTGGATTTAAATGAAAATGTAACATTGTTGTGTGTGTTGGGAGCTTTTCTTGTTGACTTATATGTTTGTTTAAAGCTTTTGAGACTGAAAGTTAGGTATTTCCAGATAGCACAGGCATGCAATTCCACAGTGAAGAATCGTTTATATTTCCATGAGGGATTGAGATAAAAAAGAAATTCTCATTAGCGCTGCTTTTATCTTTGTTGCAAATGTCGGGCGGTCTTTTCCCTTTGAAAGAGAAGACTGTAAAACAGCATCTGTTCATTTGGGAAATGTATTTATCAGAGTTAAAAGTTTGGAACAATATCATATTTGATGGCACAAATACTCCTTATTTTTGAAAATGTGTTCAACACAGGTCATCCTTGATTTGTAAATCGGTTAACCTTGGAAAGAAAACATTCATCTTCCATGAAAGAGATCAAAATGTAGGGCTACTAAGCATTTCGCTTCAATTTTAGAGCAATGGAAATAAACTGGAATGTGCTTAGTCAATGTAAAATGTATGCTAAAACATACAGCACTGCATCCTGCTTTAGTCAAGTACGGCATGAAGGCCATCCATGGGAAATAGGTCTATCTTTCAACACAGCGACTGATAAAACACCCAGGATTCCAAACGTTGTGTTAAACAACCTTTCAGTGACATGGAAATCTCCAAGTGAGTGCTCCAGCTAGTCGAGCTGATGGAGCAGCACCAACCACTGCAGACGAGAGCATTGCTGACTTTGGCCCCATCAATATGCTGGTAAATAAGCTGTGTTGTCGTGTCTGTGGTTTTGCATGCCAGTGTGGCAGCAGGTGTCACACCTGGCTGGGCTCTTGCGTGACTATTATCCCTTTTGTATCGGGCTGTCGACATGCACAAAGGAGAAAAATCATATTTTTTTTACCTTTTCTAATTTGGTGGGGCCCCTTCCCAAACACTGCGTCCCGTGTTGTTGCTAACACCCACTGTTAGCCCGGCCCGGCTAGTGCTCCCCCGTTGTGTAGCACTAATTAATGTCACTGTACGCTACGGCTGACCCGAATGCTTAGAAGCGTTGCCACAGTAATGTATCGCTATAATTCACTTGATGTGATTATTTCACATTTTGTAGCTTTTTCCGTTTCAATAAAAAGAAAAATCTTCTTTTTTTTTATCTTCATCCCTTATTAGACAGTGATTTCTAAGTAAAGTACAATACAAGTTTGAGAAATCACTTGTCATAGTGAGAATCTACCATCATAAAACACGCAAAACACAAGCTTTAACATAATGCTGTAACAACAAATTCTGTCTAACAGGCTGTGTAATGTTAATATCAACCCTCTACACCCTGTCCACACACTACTAGAAGTCCTCTGGAATTCCTCATGGTTTTTAACTTCCGGACAAGTCAGACAAAGTCAATATTCTGTAATTATCTTCAAATTGAAAACTCCCAGTATGTGTGACAAAATAACCTTCACTCACAGATCCACTTACTCGCTTTTTATACCTTTTTAACCGCATCTCACAGTCATTAATGTAATGGCCTGTTGCAGCGTATAAGTGCAACCGGCTATTGCTTTTCCACTCTTATCTACTGTATGCCCTGCTACCCTTAGTAACCTAGGCTATTGCTGTTTGCTGCATTAATGCAAAAGGAAGTAAACCACCGAGCCGTGATGAATGGATAATCATGACACCCGAGCTGTCTGAGAAGCAACGTGTGGAAGCTTTCTGGATTTGTCTGCAAAGATGGGATCATGTCAGGCCGAGTGCAACTTCTTTATAGTCATGTTACCACAGCAAATCTGATGGCACGTGTCAAATGAGGCAGCAGAGGACTTGTGCAGGAGACAAGAGAACGATAGACATTTTTTTAAAGCATCTGAGTCTTCAGCTCTCAGCCCTTCTGTTGCTTCTAACTGAATCTCTGAGGTTTGAAGTTAAGCTATGTTTGTAGTTAAGCTATATGGCACAAATGTACACTTGGACTTAAGGATGAGATGATTAGACTTTGGATAAAGGTCAGTGTTTTTGTCCATTACTCAATAATTCATATGCTAATAATGACAATTATGCACATGTATCTAATAGGATAAAATGATCATCCAAATGATTACATCTATGACATGGATGTAAACTGCAACTTGACTGGATGGCGGAGGCATACAACTGCAGGGCGGTTATTCTACTTTGAATCAAGTAGTGGTCAAGTCCTTTTTTCCTTCTTGAGCAACCTTTAATATTAGTTAGTTTTGATAATCTCATATCCCAAAGAAATGTCCCAAATGTGTCTTTGAGTCATCTCAAATGTTCCAGTTCTTCTGCTTGAATCCGATGGGCTTGTGAGTCCAAATTTCCGGGTGTTGTTTTTCTCGTGTTGTTCCATACATCGGCGATGTCAAAACAGACTACATAAGTTTAAAAAGTGTTCTTCCTCTGCACAGTCTGTGTGGGCTGTTCTGGCTGGAGTCAAAACAAACACAATTGTACCCATGGCCGGCAGTCGGGAAGAGGCAACAGCATCTGTCGAGGAAGGCTGTTATTTGTTTTCCTCGACTTTGCTGGTTTTTCTTTTTCCCCAGGACAACTCCAACCCGCTCAGAGGTAGACATAACACACACAACTAAAATGCCAACTGTGACCCCCATAGGGCTGTTGAATGTGTATCCCTGTGCAGTGTCCATCAGCTGTCCGGTCTGTCCGGGTGAACATGGTTAACAAGCACCTGTGTGTTTACTCCTCACCTCATCAACAGGGGCGGGAGGAATTGTAGAAAGTGAGGGCAGAGGAACAGCGGCTAGCTATAGCTCGCTAGCAAGAGAATCTCTGTGATGTTCGATGTGGCATGCTCTCAGTCAGCAGGATATTGACTAACCTTGCTCGGGCATTCATTTGAGAATCTGTAATTTTTCAAATGTTTTATTATTTAAACGCAAGCGCATAAGGGTCTCACCAAGTAATAGTGCCAGCTTGAACTACGATGCACATCAATACGTTAGTCAAAGAACTTATCTGTACTTGAGTTCCCCTGAGTAGGCAATAAAATCAGCAAGGATTGCAAAAGAAGTGCGTTACTCCTTCCACTAGTTTGTTATGTAAGGAATATTTTCACTTCTGCAGATCACAGCAAACATTAGTGCCCTATAAAGACTTGAGTGGTGATGAGGGTGGTAAAGTTGGAGCATGCAGCGGGTACTCTTGTAGTCGTGTGAGCTCGCAAACTATTTTGAGTTTTCTGTCTTCCTCTTTAGAATAATAAATAATTTGCCCATCATTCCACACAAACATCCCAAGGACTGCAAATAGTGTAGCGATGTTGAGCCAGTCAGACGTGAAAACTATTCAATTAACTGCTTTTGCTTCGCTGGATATTTGCTTTCATCACAGCTTTCTGAGTACTTGCTTTATTTTACTGTATGCTCGTCCAGCTCTTCGGTTTGTGGCCCTCTTCTCATTTCTCCTCATCAGGTTCAGGTTGTGTTCCCCATTATCACTTGTTCCTTTAGGTATGCAAGAAACAAATTACAAGGTAGTGTTGTTGCAAATGTGCACCTTAGTTTTCATTAGTATGGCTAGACTAATACACGGTTTACTGACCTGAGAACAGCAGGTGTACTCCACCGCGCTGGCTCCTTCGAGCGGCAGCACTTCATTATTCGAAGCAATTACTTTTGGGCAGTTGAGGTTTCACCTGCGTTCCACGAGTGTGAGTGCGTGGAACTAATTGAGAATATAGACCTACAGCTCAAGAATCACAGAAACCCTTCAGTGATTGTGAGGGACGGAAAAGTTTCCTCATGGAGTTTGACAACAACCATGATAAAAGGAAAAATCAAATGATTTGAGTTATTTGTTGGCACACAGTTGTGTTATTTCATGATCTGGCTGGTTGTTTTTTTTTTGTTTCAAATCTCACTCAGTCATTGTCAAAACTTAAATGTTTTGTTTTTTTTCAAAGTGAGTAACTTCACATGAATGACAGGAATGTCAATGAAATGTATTTTCAATGGGAATGACTTGCAGAAAATTATGAAATCGTCCCGTTTTATCTTCTGAAAAGGATGTTTTCAATGACCTATTAATGAATGACATAATAATGAACACAGTCATCTCGTCCAGAGTGTGAAGCGTCCTTCTTTATTCCCTGTCGAAACACCCCTCTCATCAACATAATGATGTCTTCCCTGTGCAGCTTTGGTGTTGTTCTTTATCACCTATCGTAATAAAATCTTAGCCCCCTTGTTACCAAATTATATAGTTGCTATAAAACCCTACAGTCACTGCACTTAGCTGCCCCCCCCCTACCACCTCACGCACACACATACTCGTGTGACACATTCAGTCGATTGTCATCAACCCTTCCCATGATACCAACCGGTCTCTGACCTCTTTAACTAAAGTTTCACTTATTAAAAAATAAAAAAAAAAAAAGGAATAGTTTTCGGACTAATTAACTCATGAATAATTTGTGCTAAGTCAACAGGTGACTACATTTGAAAGTTTACCGCGAGAGACCCTGCGAGACGAATTTCAACAGCCCGTGAATGCAAAAACAAGGCCAGCGAAATGTAGGGCGATGCTCCCGTACACCCTCCTCGCTTCATCAGGCGACTCAGACAAGACTACACGACGCAAGCATATGTGCTCTGCTACGGGGCAAAGCTTAAGGGAACACGCTGCGCAATGTACACCACCTGTGTGCTTCCTGGCTATGCTCGTGTGGCTACAGTTGCTACGACCGGCTCAGCAGAGGTCATTTGCATACTTTATGACTGTAGGTAAAAGAGGACAGACACATGATAGGTAGGTCTGTCTGTGTGGGTGGGTGTGTGTGTGTCAGAGAGAGAGGAAAAGAGATGGTAAAACCGTGTCTTTTTGCTTGACTCATAAGGGCCTGCAGTTACAACCGGTCAAATCCATCTTCAGGCCCTAAGATGTGCTGATGGGTGAAAACTAAACAGCTCGGAGGTAGGTTGATTTTGACAGTTTGTTTTCTCCAACGGGACACTTGTTTTGTGGCCAAGCCTCCTGTGTTGCTGTTGTTCTTGTAAGCTTGCTCTCTGCTCCCGAGGCTAGCTCGGGCTCAGGCCTGGGCGTCTATACACTTGTCTGTGTTTTTTCCTCCATTTGCCTCTTCTGAAGTATAGATCAAATAGAGTACCCTGAGAACTGCTTATCTTATTTGAAAGCATTTAATGGTCTCCAGGCTGGCTGCTTTTAGAATGGAAATCAAGCAGTGCAATAGTTACCTTTTGTGTTACACAATAACAGGAGAAAATCGAGTTGTTAGTTTGGTTATAGATGACTACATATGAAGATTTTCAAACATGCTCATATTCTAATGGCTTGTTTGCTCAATCATGAAGGGAAAGACGTGACATGATTATCTGCTAATGATTAACAGTGAGCCCAGACTGATGTAAGAACTAGCGATGGGGTAGTGCCACATGTGGCCTACCTTTTTACTGTACCTGCAAAATATTTTCTCCTTGAATGACATGTCTTAATAATTCATTAAGTGCTAACGTTCATCCTATAATTTTTTTTTATTCAGAATTTTCATTTGTTTCTAATGAATGAGTAATTAGCTGCTAAACAAGATTGACAGGTTGCCCCAGGAAAGCACAGTTACCAGAACTTGGAGCGATTACTTCTCTGAAACTAATTGCGTGTGATAACAGACGTAGCGTCGGTGATATCGTTTTGACGGACTCCAATATCACAGCTTCAAATCTATATAATTGAAGGTGAGTGTTTGGTACGAAAAGATTGAATTAGTGACAAAAGTAGGGACACGCTAAATATATCTGCCAAGCAGATCGGCCAGTTGTGGGTTGTATTCATTCAGTCATATGCAGCAGTGGTCATTGCAGTCATGCCTGACGGAGACCTACACTCTACTGAGTGCACTTTTCTAATTATTTATATCATTTATGTTGGTACTTCCACACATTATACTGAGTTTAATATCAGAAGTGAGCTGCAACAGGTTTGATACATTTGTATGGCTGCAGAAAGCATTTTTAAAAATGAATTCTTATCGATGAACAATGTTGTAGAAGTTGTTTTTCTCTATTTTATTTTCATCCACAACTACAGGTATCAGTTTTAAGGATCTTTTACACCACATTATCCACATAATTTGTCTCTTTCTAGAACACTTAGTCAGTTCAGATTGTTGTTGTACAATGAACTAAAGCAGCACGATCGGGGTTCATGCTGGTGATTAAGTTGTACGGCAATTAAATAACCAGCATGATCATGCTGGTGTTAAGCAAAAAAAGTCAGCTAAAACCAAGTGCTCTCTTGTCAAACAATAACCTGAATACAACATTCAAAGGGAAAAGCGTTGAGGTTCAGCATAATGTATTACCTGTAATTAAACGAATAACATAACTATCTCCTTGACCCGACTTCCTCACAGTAAACCGGACGACATCGTATGATAGAGTAGAGTTAGAAAGAAACTTGAATGAAGGAGCACAGGGACCATTATACTATTCAGAGGGCGATAGCTGGCCCCTCTGTAACAGATGTCAAAGGCATTCACTGCCGTCCTCTACTCTCATGCCGTATGACGAATATCTGTGTACTCTTTCGATCATCCTAGGGGCTGAAATAATGCGCTTTGCTGTCCCTGGTCCACAAACACCAGGCATGCATCAGCACTTATCTTTGCTCAAAACTTTGCTTTCCTCTTTTGTATCACTGCATTCTCTTCCCCTTCTGCCTTTTCTTGGAGCTTTCTTTGGAACTAATGATACCGCGAAAAGCTGATGCCAGCACCTGATGGCCACACTCTTGTGGGGAAAAAAAAGTCCAAAAAGTGGCAAAAAGGACTTATTACTTCAATTATTCTCTTTGTTGTAGATTAAAATGATGATCTGGAAAACGCTCTTCACAGTGTATGGTTATTCGTTCTCTGGAGAACTGTGTTCATTGTGTTTTATAACACTGCGGCTGCAATGCAAATCACAATCGTATCTTCTCGTTACTTGTTATCTGTTCTTTAGATGTGGAATTGAAAAAGAGTCCTTGAGCTGGGCTTTTCCACAACACTCAAACCCTCCCCCCCCCACACACACACACTCTCACACACGCATACACACACCATCTTTTACAGACGCATCTCTTTTCTCAGATACCAACACAAGTTGCCCGCACACACTTTTTGACGTATGGGTTGAGTGTATTCTTAGACATGTTGTTTTACCCTTCATGCTTGATGTGATTTCAGAGTGGAGGTGGTACCAAGCTGTCCTTCTCCTGCGCATTACATGTTTCAAAAGACGAGGCTTGAAAGCCGTGCAAGCCATTGCAGCAGATACTCAATTATACAAGCATTTGACGGAGCCGAGTGTTCATGCGCACACATACTAGGCCTCTTCGTAAAGACCCAGGCCAGTTTACCCGTGTACAATTCCATAATCACCATTCTCTTCCAAAGATATATGAAGTAAGGCATGCATTGAAGGTGAAAGCAAATAGTGAATAGTACTCTACAAGAACAACTACTGTGGAGGAGGTGGTGTGGTAATAGTACATTAAAGCGACAGCAATCTCTAGTACAAATTGGCATTGCCAATATAGAAATAGTTTTCAGGAAAATCTATGTTCGCCTGTTAGATCTCACCAATATTGTGTAATAGGTTATTGAACTGCCATGAGAACTGCCCATTAGAGCACTTATTTGGCCATTTGGAAAGTGAGGAAGCCTCAACTTTGCCATGACGGTAAATAAAACATCCATGAAGTAGCAGTAAATAATGTAAACACACAGAGGGAAGATGGAAGCTGTACAGAAAGAGGAAATGGAGCGTTAAAAGGTGGCACTTTGTCAGGACTACCCTTGGGCTAAAAAGCCCATCCCCACCCGACTCACCTTGCACACATACTTAATTATTAGAAGTCTCCACAGAGCGAACGTTGAAGTGCTTTTGCAACATGTTTCAAACACAGCCAGGTAACATACTTTAAGAGAGACCTGGCTAAGGTAGCAGACATACTAAATCACAAAACAATACAATACATACTAAATGATGTACAAAAACATATAAAAACACAGTGGCCTCCCGAGAAAAAAACTACCACATGGATCTTTGTATGGATTATTCTATGCCCAAGCTGCATAGTAGGAGAATGCAGTTTCATATATTACATCACATGATATGAACAATCCTAACCATGGGTGAAACCTTCATTCACAGAAAAGATACTTTACTGGAACACTTTTAAAATGCCGACTGTAAATTGTTCAAACTCTCACTTGTATAATTAGACTTAAAGACGACTAACATTCCCGTGATAACGAATGGGACCTCGTGGCAGGCCAATGAAGGGACTGTAGTCAAAGGAGACACTGTCAGTTGTGGATTTGCTTTTATAAAGGTCATACTTGATGTAACTGTGTAGAAATCCTACAGCAGATCCATTTGTTTATTATCTGTGTAATCAGTGTTCAGTGGGTAGTAAAACCTGCAATAAATATTTTTACAGCAATCTTTGGCAGTTGCCCGTGAAGCTTTGTCTTTTATTTTTGCTCTGGTCACCAAAAAAAACCATTTAATTGACAAAGAATTTGTAGCACAGTGGTGGTTAATAATTCGACAAAGAGCACAGTTTACAATGCCGTATCCCCCTTTAAGAGGAAAAGAAAAGAGTTGTTAGGTTTGACCTAATCATTTCTATATGCAGTACATTAAGTAAAACAACCATCAGCTTTTTTAAAAAAAAGGTTCCGATGCTGTAGATCCAAACTACGCAACCTCCACGTGAGACATTGCCCCGTCCTGAGATGTGCTGAGTGTAGGTGATAATAATTCTGAGAACAGGTGCTGCACCATAAGCCCCATGGCCTGGGGAAGTGAATGATTAGTGGCACTCCCCCAAGATGCATTGCTCCTCTGTATTAAAACCAAACTCTGCCTTTTATTCCCTCCAGGGTTTATTAAGTGGGCCAGTTTCCATAGCGACGCTTTGGCAGGATATTGCCAGGATAAGCCGTAATGGGTCTCCTGACGCAGTTCACTCTGCTCCTGTGGAAGAACTTCACTCTCCGGAAGAGACAAAAGGTACAACTCCCGCTCACCAACCCCCCTTTTGCAAATCAACGTAGATCTGCTAAAATTGGTCAACAATGGAGGGAAAGCGAGGATACGGTCCCAAGATTGTTTTATCAAGGTTAACTAAGTTATTCATGAGAGGGGACGGTAATGGGAGGGATTTACTACCAAAATTGTCTCCTATAGAAGTAAGCCGCCTTTAACTCTCCCACTAGAGAACAAGAACAATCTTACCTTAATGCCGACCAATTCGGAGTGTCACCTTCAATCTTTGGAGGTATATCTCTTGTGCACGTTATGTCACATTGCCTGTGTTTTAGTTCTAACGAAGCCGGTCTATGACCTAATGGAACGGGATTCGGAGTGACGACTGTTTAAATGCTTAGTTTGAAGGGCGAACACTCTTTCTGGCTCTTCTCACAAGCTCACTGCCACAGCTTTTCCTTAGCATTGCTATCCAAAGTGTTAGTGTCACTGCAGTTTAAAATGTTACCAAACAATTACGGGTGATTCCTATTTACTTGTCGGATGAAAACTGAAATAGTCCACCTGACATTTCCACTGCTGTCACTTTACATGCAACTTTTTTCCAGTGCAATTTCAGTATCTGTGCTAAATTTGACCTGCTTTCATCTTTCACACTTAAGGCCGTCGCACACCAGAGACGTTTTTTGTTTTGTGCGATTAATACGCTTGCTTGTCAATATATCGTTTTGAACTGGTGTTTTTGTCATGACTACTTTTACACAGAGCATGAATATTACGCCACGTAACAGCTGCAGAGGAGGCGTAAGTCTCTGAGTCATTGTCCCTTTGCCCTGGCTAGTTCCCCGAACCCGAGTCATTACTTCCTTATTCATGTAACAAACAATAACCTACACATGATCACCCAGTGATGGTGGATTTTATTGCCTCTTATGTCCCCAACAATGGCCAAGAGGTCACATGCTGGGGGAAGATAACAGTTGCACAATGTGTCGCCACCGCATTTCAAGGAATCTAGTTCGTCTTACGTGTCATTCTGAGGCAGATATAGCTGTTACAAAGAGCTGCAGTGTGCTCTTTGATTTGCATTGTTGCAGTGATGATAGGAGTTACATCCACCCACTTGATTTGTTAGGGGTTCGAGCACAGCAGCGCAGCCTGTTGCCAGAGTAGAACAAAAGAACAAAAAAAAATCAGCTTTCATCAAAGTTCATACTTTCTTGGAATAACTCAAGGCAAAGGCATTTGCAATTTTCAAACTTTGAATCGGTGAAACATACCCCTTGTTAATTTTGTCAACCGGCAGAAAGAAACAGGTTGGTTTCCTGTTTATATGGAGGGAGAAACAAGCACTGACTTTCCCGCTAGACTATTCAAGGGGACAGTGGTGGTTTTGTGCTTGGAATGTAGGATATTTGGCCAATGTTAACATGAAATATTGGCATTAGACAAAACCAGTGGGAGTTAGCAAGGACAATGGTGCTTCTGGAGGGCTTGTGGAGGTTAATGACCAATTATATGAATGCCTCACCAAGCATTTTAAGATTTTATAACAGGCATGAAACTGATTTTATGGTCCAGTATTTCACATAATTTCATAGGAGGAGATTATCTATTCACAAAGACACTGGTGCCCAATGGCAAATGCCTGGGGAGCCAGACATTGGGAAAGTCCCCATGATCTCTGTGTTCCCTCTCCGTGCTTTTTCTTTGAAAGACATTATGATACTTCACCCTCTCAGCAGAACTACATCCTCTGACACCCGGACGGCAGGGAATTTAAAGGGCAGAATTTAAAGAATCTTTCGAGTTTCTTTGAAATGTATGCAATTTAATTTTCTGCGTTTTTTTCTGTTCAGTAATTCATCGGCAAAATTGCGCTGTGACATTACGTGCAATATGTGTTTTTGTATTTGCTCACCTCTGCCGGCCCTCCAGTTTAATTATGAAGACAACAACTTCAGCGTAGATGTCTTCTCTTATTATTTGTGCCGATGTGCGTCATCAGATAAAATGTCTGAACATGTTACCATAGCAGGAACACGGTGGTTGGCTAACTGCAGTTGATTCCACGAGGCAAGTCACTCCAGCAGAGATGCTGAAAGGGTTGAGCGTGCAGGCCGACCAGGTCAGCTCAGGTTAGCGGGAGGGGGCTCGGTGGGTGAGTACAGGGTTGGAGGGAGGGGGGATGTTGAGCAATGGTGTGTCTGGGGATGCGTAAAAGCCTAGATGGCAGGGGGTGTTGGGTTGAAGACTCAAGGAAGGATGAGCTGCAGCATTGTAATAACTCACTGGAAGTCATCTGCTGTTTGATGTTACGTCTTGCAGGATTATGAAGTCACTCTAGCCTTCAGAGGTCTGCGTTACCTTGACTTATGTATAAAAGAACTGAACTACGTTGGCGTTTCCACAGTAACAACAGTGGTAGAAATAAGCATGCAGGCGTGGTAAATGTGGAGGTCTGTGTGTATACCTCATAACTGTAAGGTCCTGGTACTTTGCCTCTGGAACACCCCCCCCCAAGGCCAACTGAGTAGAAAAAAAATGAGAAACAACCCAGTGAAGAGGTAAAGCCTTGAGGTCATCAATTTGTGCTTTGTTGGTTTCTCTCTTCACCCATCCCCCAGAGGTTGAAATAAAATGCCTGGCATGTCACATGGGGGCTACCTGCCGCTGACAGGTATTGAAGTGGTTGTTTTAAAGCAAGCAAGCGGTTGGAATTCTTCATCCAGAAGAGGATTAAATGTGTGGAGGTGATGATAGGGAGTGTGTGATAGCTTCAGCTTGTGGAGCCGTACGCTGAGGTTTCTCTCTCAATCCAGTAAGTGCTTAGAGCAAAAGCAAGACTGACAGCGTAACATATGGACTATGGCTTGTGGACTATGGATACACACAGCCTCATGAGGTCATTTTAGTCAATCATCAATGGTGTCACAATGGCAGAGACTCAATGAAATGTCCACTCACCTTTGCTTTTAGATTTGCTTTGACGTTTTGATTGATGTCTCATTTCACTTATGAAAATATAATGCAAATGCTGTGAGCCATAACAGGGTCCAGAGATGTAGTTCATAAAACATTATGAAAATGAGTCTACTTTCTCTTTTGTGCAGGTGCGGCTGGTCGTTGAAGTGGTATGGCCTCTGTTTCTCTTCATCATACTGGTGTGGGTGCGGTCCACCAATGATCCAATTTATAAAGGCCAATGTAAGAACAAGAAGAGTTGTAATGTTTAACTCTATTTCACAAGTCATATAAAGCTGCGGAACCACTCCTCAGTTCTTAACGTGTATTTCCATAATAACTCAGATCGCAAGGCTAAGGTATATATCAAAATGCAAATATGATCTCGACAGAACATACAACTTACTAACCTTGTGATATCACTGCATCTATTTATCAAAACAACAATGTGTTAACAGTGCAGCTGGCTAAGTATTCATCTATATTCCTGTAGGCCACTACCCAAATAAAGCCATGCCGTCGGCTGGCGTGCTTCCCTGGCTTCAAGGTATGATGTGTAACATCGACAATCCCTGTTTGAAGTACCCAACGCCGGGGGAGATGCCAGGCCAAGTCAACAACTTCAACAACTCCATGTACGTACCGCAGTGTGCCCTTTTCTGTCTTGTCTTCTCAGATTCGCGTACATTAGGATGAAACTGAATGTTTTGGTAGTGATTTCAGGTTACGTCTAAGATGTGACATTTACAGACAGTTTGTGATCTTTTTTTTTGTCTTTCTGGTAAACTAGAGTTGCCAGGATGTTGATAGAGCTGCAAACCCTCCTAGTGAACAGATCTATTCTCAGCAAGGCACAGTTGCTGGCAGATGACCTCGACCAGTGGGATTCAGCCCTGTCACAGGCTAACCCTGGTGATGGTAAGAGAATTTCTTGATCCACTGACCTTAACACAATGGCACTAGTCATGAACAGACCAGGTGAAAAGCAACAGGATCATCACAGAGATTGGTGTTTCTTGATATACTAGTTGTATTGCTGCTGATGGTTCCAAAAGTCAAAAGTATAGAAATAACGCCTCAGCAACAATCACTCTGCTATGTCTTTGTTAAGTACTCTCCATCAAGGAAAGTATCCCCTTCATGTGGATGACAAGTTGGAGGATTTGTTATTCCCCTTTATCCCTCAAAAACAATAGCGCATGATTATTTATGATGCAATTTGCTGTGCAGACTGACAGATCGTTTGTCTTGATAAGTTGCTGCTTTGCATTAGGCTCATTTACCCTGATGATATTCAGATTTTCATACGCCACCTAATTTGCAAAGAGACAAGGGGGTGGGGTGTGTGGGGGGGTGGGGGGGGGGGGAGTGAGGGTTCTGCTGTTCAACAAATGGCTTGAGGGCCATTTGCATTTTGGGGTCGCTGGCTTGTAATATACAAGATTAAATCCATCAAAGATCTAAGCCTGGGCATAATTAATGGGATTCACTGTCGGGAGGCAAGAGCACAAAAGGTCATGAACAAGAATGGGGAATGGAGTACGATCAAAAGACTCGGATGGCATAAGTGATTGTGTTGTCCTTTTTTTGTGTTTTTACCATGGGTTGATTAAAAGACTCAGGTGGTCATTTCAATCAGAAAGGCAACAGTGTTCAGGAAGAGCCCAGAGCATGTTTTTCTTCCCCATAATCTAACCCTGTCCATCCCCCCTGATGCTCCCGCAACCACGAGGGGCATACTAACATCTGTTTAGTTGGTTGCATCAAACAGCATAATTAACTCAAGACAAAACTGAATGATTGTTATTTTTACAAAACATTTATCTTAATTGAACCTTGCACAACCCAGTAAAAGTCACTTCCTCCCTTCACCTTGACAATTGAATGAGCTGTGCATGCATTACACGTGCAGAAGGGCTAATTTAATTGAATTACGTAACCCCTTCATTGTCTCAACAGCACAATGCAGGAGTCCCAGAGAGAAGGAAACGCGTGTTGAATAGAGGCAGTTTGTGCATGGGTGTGTGAAGTTACTTTAGTGGGATCCCTGCTATGTTAAGACATTTTGAGGGGGGGTAACAAGTACCAGTCAATTGTTTTTTAAGCTATCTTATTTAAAACCTGACTATCTGTCGGCAGCTATTTAGAAGAAAATGTCTGGTAGACAATCTGGTGCATGATAAGCAACAAATTGTCCCCTCACTCATTCAACTCAAGTGCTACTCGCACCAGTGAAGAATTTAGTTGCAACAGTCATCTAGAAAGTAAAGGTTTTCTTTTTGTTTTAGGTCTTATTTGGCCAGTGTTCATGTCATTTAGGAGAATATATACTCAGCAACTGCAATGCAGTGATATTGAAGACATGGACTTTTGCTTTAACCTTTTCCTTTCAACAACAGAATAAATCCTCCAGTGCATTTGCTAGAGCAGCCCTTCCATTGCACTGGAAGGGCTGCTGTCCTATTAGTTACACAGCAGCCACTCCTCCATGGTTGGAATAGGTGTCCATTAGGGCAAATGACACAAGCCTCACGCATGTTTCTACATGGACCCATATTTGTGAACAGTGGTGTGGAAATAAAATGCAGGAGGGTAGCCAAGCAAGGGAGAGCAGAGACAGAAAGACTGCAGGGTTGGCTGCAGAATATCTGCAGTGCAGATGGCGAGTAAGGAGGATTTACGGCTTAAACTATGAAAATAGGATTCGACTGAAAAGGAAGCACATATATTTCCCTTTAAGTTTTCCATCGCTTGTCCGCATCACACATGTAAACATCAACTGCACTGCTGTACACTATGTTTCCTATTGTTTTGTATCAAATGCTGTTCTGCAAAAGTACTGATTTTCCATCTTTATGTTGAAGCTCAACCAGTGATCCTACGGAGTATTCTCAGAGACAATGAAACTTTCTCTACTCATCTGAAAGAGAATCTGTCGCTGCCACCAACGGTGGTCCAAAGCCTCATGAATGCTGAGATTAAACTCAATCCAGTGAGTATCATTTTGCTACGCTGCTCGCATGATGAAACGGCAAACTGTCTCCAATAGGAATCCCAGCTGCTTTGAAACAAGATTTTCCACCTCCTCCTGTAAATATAGCAATTTAAGTGTTAACCAACATATTCAGAAGACCACATGTGCCAAGAGTGTTGTGCTTGAGCATTTTAAATGTAAAATATCATAGCCAAGAACTGCCTCGGGAATCAAAGCAAACTCTAGCATTTGCTTGATAAAACGCGTTGTTTGAAGCTGGCTACAGTAGGTCATTTGGAATGAAATGAACTCGCAATAACAATGTCTTGTCTCTAAATGCTCCCCAATTGATACCACCATATGTATCAAGTAATATCAATTGAGCTGCAAGAAGGTAATTTTGCTTCACTGTCAGTGACAAGGATGCTTAAACATAGTGCAAAGTGATTAAAAGAGCCCTACTGTGTACAGTATGAGGCGTTCTGATGGTTGCATTGGGCTCTGTTGCAAAATGTACCATGTGCCCAGAAAGTAAAAATTGCTAGTGCAGTTCATAAGCCATTCTCTTGTCTTCTGTCCGTGTATCCTGTCTTTCTTGGAGCCATTGTATACTGTCTAGTATGATACAAAATATCTGTGTGTACGTGCATCTGCGTGTGTGTGAAGTGGTGATATTTGTGTCCGTCACATTTTTACTGTTGTTTCAAGTGACCTTGTGGGTGTTTGTGCACGATATCGGTCTTAACTCGAGGATGAGCAAAGAAAAATAAGGCTTGATTATAGTCAAAACACTCATTTATATCTGATTTTGAAGTGTGATTTAGCATACGGTCTGCCTGCACACGGTTCGAAAAACATTGATCTAGTGTTGTGTCACACGTGTATACATACAATAAATACAATATGCTCAGATGTAAAGTTCTCTTGTTAGCCAACTTCTACCAAAGTTCGTGTTTATTTTTCAGATGATGGGCACCCCGAGGCCAGGCAACCTGAAGAGCATCCTGTGCGAGGGGACAGATCTGGACGAGTATATCCAATTTAGCAGCCGAGCTGAAAAGGAGGCTTTTCAAAATGTCAGCTGCTCCCGCGATCCACAGCAACTGATTAATGCCCAGCAAGTACTCCTGCAAAACCTGGATGCCGGGAAAGTGCTTTCTGAGGTGAGCTGTCTTTCATACCGAGAAGAAACCTCACAACTTCTCTGATTTGATGTTGATCAGACTTGCGAGTTTTGCGTAGTAACTCGGACATAATCAGTCTCATTTTGACAAAAGTTTACGAGGGAATGCATTTGGGAGTTTACAGCAACTGGCCTGACGGGGGACACTGTAGTAATACAGGTCATAATGTCTTCATATGAAAGCCATAATTCCTGCTCGGCAAGGTCACCCACATCTGGCACGCTTACAAATTGCACTGTCTGGGCTTAATGAAGGTAATATTAAATGTGTCAATTTGAAGCTATTGTGTGTCTCAGCCACCACGGTTGCAGTTGAGGAATTACTTGGGAGAATGCATGTGAACCCTACGTCAGGCATTTCTAAGTCAAACTGAAGATACTTAAGCTATTGCGTGTGGTTTTTCCATTTTTCAAAAGTGTTTTTCAACCTTTTTTGTGGAAACTGCATCTTCGATTCAGGTCTCTCGGAAGGCATTTCCCAAGACTTACTTTTAAGAGCCGGTGTTGCTAGGAGATGCACTGTCTGCTCCCACTGTGCACTACTGACTGGAGCACGTCATAGCCCCCGCATAGCCTTCGAACTTTGGGCCCCATGCTGGAAGCAATATATAAATACATTTCCACTCCTGTTTGCACACAGAATTTGTTCTTATTTCGTTAGTACCCATTGATTTGTGGGATTCATCATTGAATTCATTAATCCCTTGGATGGTATTGTGTGTGTTTAATGTCTATTGATTGACATTAGTTTTTTCAACAAGCCTTTTACAACATGCATTTGACCCATTGTACAGTTACAATTCTGTTCCACTGGTAGAATTGGAACCTAGCAGGCTAGATTCTAATTAGCTTCCACGAAGAAAGTGGAAGTCTTGACTTTCTAACATTTTCTTTTTGGTCATGTTGTCTCAATACCTGCAGAGTCATTGGCAGCTCCCGCCTGAACAATTGAGTGCTGCGGTCATCACACATTGTGTTCAGTTATATTGTGAACCTTAAGCCTTAGCAAAAATGAAATGCCAGAGAAATGTTTTTGTATGCCAAAATTCCCTGCTGAGCCTTCTTGTGGCATTTGGGGTTGTGATAGGTACTCGCCCTAAATGGAGAGATAAATAAGAAAAAGTAAACGTCGCTGCACAAAGTAATTTTCAGCATGGGTATTCTATCAACTATGTACAGTAAGATGAAACTCCAAACCTTAATGCTGTTTCAAAGTATTTGGAGTTCATTGTCTATTCTAACGATTAATCTCCCGCATGGCTGGCGGTAAATCGATTTCAAAGGCAATGATTTTCTGTGACAGCCAATTGAGTCACCAATTTAAAAGTTAAATGTTATGCTTGTCTTGCTCTGTGACTTAGAGAGATGAAGAAATTAAAAGGTAAAACATGCTAATGCTTCCACTTTGAGGCAAAACCTACAGGCAGCCCGTTATTACTGCACCATTATTTTAATGTGTTTTTGTTTCTTTTATTTTGAGTGTGAAATCAGTTTCTGTCCCATAGGGTCTAAGCATTTACAATGGTCATTGTCATATGCACCCAAGTGTCTTCCAGTAATTTTGCTAGAATGCAATCAGGTGGGAATTACCTATTAGAACCAATGTTTTGTTGAATTCTTTTGAATCTCGTGAGTTCCCTTTGGGGCGATGAAAGCCTGCACTTTTCTTTGAGCTTATCTTTTATAGAAAATATGTGGGACAGCAAATCCAATAAATAAGCGATAAGGAAGGAAATTCGTAGGAGAGAGCATTTGAACAATTTAAGCCCACAGGCATTTTCAGATGCAGGGAAAAAGAAAGCCCAGACAAGATATGGCGGACAGGCTCTTCAGCGCCGCAAGCAAATGGATGGAAAAGAACATCAAGCCTTCACACTTAAAGCTTGACGTTGCTGAGTGATTGTGATAGCAACAACAACAATATAAAGAATAGGACAAGGGAAGAAGTCGGGGTCTATCACTGAGGTAGTGAGTGGCAGAGGGTGATTTAGATAGTGGTTCTACAACTCTGTTTGGTTTTCTGGAAATCATTTCGGAACACAATGCATAGGGCAGACTGTGAACAAAAAGACATTTGAATGTATGTGGCTCTCAGGTCATTCAAATGTCAAAGTGTGTTTGTTTTTTTTGTCCGTCTTTGATGCATAATCTCCTTTGCAGTTCATTAACTCAACAAATCATAACTTTTTGTACCATTCAAAATATGTAATGGTTGTATAATTCTTGTTGAATTACTTTTCTAACCACCTGGTTATCAAAAGAAACCATTGATGTCTTCAACTGTTACAAAGTGCATTAGAAGTTGAGTTTAACAAGTGCCATTTTATCTACCTCCTAATGAAACATTGCTCAAAACTCTTCTGTCGATCTGTGATTTTCTGCTGTTTAGCTGAAAATTGTCTGAGACTCAGTCCTGCACTTTCTGACTTGATCCTTAATGTCTGCTCTTCACAGACACCAAAAGTGATCCTTAATGAATGTCCTCGAGACTCAATCAATAGCCAGGCTGTTGTCCAAGATGTGCTTGAATGGGCTTCTATTTGTGAAAAATTCAAAAGCAGTGTTAGCCTTCTTTCTACCTATGTCTTGGAAACGTTTATAAGCTTCGTCATTTTTATTTGCTGAAAGACAATGCAGGCCCTCCTATTGCAGCCTTTACTTGGCACTTGATGCATGAAAATGACAATGGTTAAAAGGGCATGCCATTTAGTTCTAGTAATTGGACTCATGCTGTGTACCTTCAGAATGTCACTGTAACACACAGTAACACTTGTCATTTTAATGTAGTTTTTATTAACCAGTGCCAGAGATGATGATGATGTTGGGATACAATTTTCCAGTCGAATTAGTGCACGTATTGCCAACGTATAGTATCTTCAGTGGAAAGGCTGAAATGGAGAGCTGGTATTTTTAGCTAAGGTATGGAGTAATATTTTTAAAAATGGCGAGCATTAATTCATACATTGGATTATAACATTATCAGGTTTTTTTGCCATTCATTTGATAGCTACAGTATTGTTCTGAAACCCAACTGTCCATGCCCTACTTTAGGTACCTTCAGCTCTGGATCTGAATGTAACAGACACAGTCACACTGATTGGGAAAACCATTCGAGATGCATTACCAGTGATTGAGGAGGTTAGTGTTGCTGCTGTGTCACGTACACCTGACCTGGAATACATATTTTTACTCTTATGATGACATATCTTTCTGTATTTTAAAGAATTCACCAGTATTGCATTCTTGTATTCAGATGGCCAGATTGCAGAACTCCATGATCTTTAAGGCTGCTGGTTCTTTGGATTTCCAAAAGGACATGATTGGCAGTATCAATATGCTACTTTGTGGAAAGCAGCCTGCCATCAGTTTACGCTCACCTAGACGGATGGATAACAAGGCGAATGTCTCCATTCCGAGCAACAGTTCCGGTAAGTGCTGCAGCAAACTCCTTTACAAAGCAAAGTTGTCACACTGTCTTAATCTTCTATCTACATTTTAGCTTTATGGTACTGTATATAGTTATTGTAGCCAGCTAATGGACAACATTTTTTATTTTTTATTAAAGCCAGTGATGCACAGTATTAACAGACTTTTGGTAATGTGGAAACCAGAGGCGTAAGGCATAACTGTGTTGGGTGGACTGGGAGTTATGCTTGATCGGTAGGTCAAATCAAAGTTATTAGGCAGTTTGGGGGGGGGGTCAGACGTGTTTCTTATGGACAACGACTAAAAATAATTTTATTGGATCAAGTACTCTGCACTGACAGATTCAGTGCAAACCCAAGTTTTCACTGTCAAAACAATGGTTCCCTTTTCCATAAATAAGAGGTGCATGGTACACAGTGCCGTCAACTACATTGTGCACAGGGACGCACCTGTGGCACAGTTGGCACCTGTGCCAGATCTGGAAACTGTGTTTGATTAGGAATACATTATTGCCGGCTGTGTCGGGGGGCTGGCACCAATCGTAGCTGATGAAATCAGCTCCCCTCTCCTTCCATTTAAAAGCTGTGCACTCACTCCCCACATTGACATAATGATGTTTTCTTAATGGAGAGAAAAGTTCAGAGCAACGAATCCTAAGTGGAAATTGATGTTGTTGTCTGTTGTTGAATCCCAAGGTGCGAGTATATAACATCCTAAATAAGAACATATGGCAACCCAAACTTCCCACAGAGGACAGATGGTGTCACTAAAACACTTTTTTGAGTTCTAAACTGGTATTTTGTGCTATTGAGCAAGGGTGGTTTACACAACCATGGCAGCCATATTGTTACCACATGTATAGACGTATGTTGTTTTTCCTTGTTGTATTGTTTTTAATGATAATTGTAGATTTATCTTCTGTCACCGACTGGTATGTACACAATAGCTAAATGATTCTTTTTACTCTTATTTAACCTTGCCGTCCTTGTTTTTAGCTGTATTTGTTTTTCTGTGTATGTACAATGAGAGCAAAATTCCTGGTGTGTGTTCTCATACCTGTTCAGTAAAGCTGATTCTAATACTGATTTTGACGATGGAGTTCAGTATTGCTTTTAAAATGTCCGGTGCATCCCAATGATGTTGTTGTCTTCCATACACCTGATAATAACAGTGCATAAACATGGTATCCTCCACAGCTTTAGCCAGCCACAGTTGTGTGCCTTGCAGCAGCCTGGTGCTACTTATGAGAGGTGTGTATCAGGTAGCCACATTTGAAGAACCTGTGGTATATTCACACTGCTTTGAAAATCCAGGCCGCGCCGCCCACCTTCAGTATGGTTTTGAATGAGCGTTCTTATGGCTTCAAGGTTTCAATTAATGAAAGAGGGAAGATATATTCTACAAGCATTTGTGGATGGCAGATAAGGTCAAGTACTGATGTGAATCACGCTTTGATCTAACCCAGAACACACTTTGCTGGCATTACTGCATCAAAGATGCTTTCTGATGCACACATTTGTACAGTGGTTTGCTTCACAAATGACTAAGGGGGATCTTTTTGAAGTGTTGTTCTTCACCCAGCTGTTGTCTGGTGACAAGTTATTTGAGTTATTGTTGATAAGTTGAGTTATTGTTGGTACATTATTAGTCTGTTTTTTAAAATTTCATCTTTGGGCCTTGAAGAGCCCGTAGGATTATCACACACCTGGAAATTTAAAACAAGTCCTGACCATGTGTCTGATCTTGATTTATGGGTGGACCTTTTAAGACTAACACACTTTTTTTTATCATTTGCACCTGTTTAAGTGCACCTGTTTCTATTTTTCATCATTAAACGGGTGGTAACTTTTTCCACAAGGGGATACACATTTCTGTTTGCTTTAAGTGCATTAATAATTCCCCAAGTAAATCCCAAATTAATAATCGAATGTAAAGATGATGGTTTCTTCAGTAACGCATTACAGTTGAGTAGAAACATTTTCCATATATTTAAAAATATGGAATGATTGTTAACGCTGTCAAAGATATGATCAAACTCTTTCCAAAAAGGTTATATGAATAATTTCCTACTGGTGCTGTGCAATGACAAGTAAATAAGAGTAGCACAACCATTGTACGTGTTGGTGGAGACGTGTTGGTTTGTTCCATAAAATCCTTGAGAATTAGATCTTCGGTGCAACTTCTTGCAGGCTCACGCTCATTAGAGACCAAGCATTCCTGTTTCATTAAATGCCTGTTCTTTGGAGACAACTGCACAAAATTAGATTTTAATAAGAAGCCCTTATTTCCTGGGAATAAAGTTACAGCACAAAGTGGAATTGCATGCTTGTGCCAGTGCAAATTAGCAATTGTATCATCCATACCAAAATAAGCACTAACATCTCTGTTAGCATGCTAATGGCTGTTTGGGATTTGCCGTGGCATTTGATTCCCGTCGTCTATGTACAGTTAAATGCATCTAAAATATGCAGCGCGTCGGCATAATGGCCAATTACAACTCCTTTATACATGTAAAAGTACACTCAAAGGAACAGCGGAGTAGCAGCAATAAAGGCCAACACAGAGGTTGTGTTAATGGCTCAGCAGTGTTCCCTTCCCAATTAATCGTTGACGGCAAAGGAAAACGTCTGAGTCATTATACAGAATTGTTGGGGCGGTATCTGTTCTACAGTAATTTTAAGTTATTACCATTTTTTTTTTTTTTGTATTTGCCCAACAGATGAACACGGATAAGAAGTGGTTACATGGCTCTGCAATGGTAAACACTTCTATGTATGCATTTGCTGGAGAAATTAGCAAAAACGATGATTCGCAAATGTAGACTCTGACACGCACGGCTCATTCTAGAGGTTGTTTTCCTCGCTGTTGTTAAATTTGGACAATATTTGGTACCATACGGAGTATTCGAGTAGATTAGCTAAACGGTTAATGCACTACAGCATCCCTGTGAAACTGGTGATTTGACTTGATCTCAAACCTTTTTTCAGAGTTCTTGATTTGAATGTGTTTTGTACCCACACCAAGCATCAACCTTTCAAATGAACACGTCCTCTGTTGATCTATCAAAATGGTCTTTCATTTAGCATTGTCCCATTTTCACTGGTGTGATGTTCCCCGACACTGTTCATAACATCCCCTAATTATCTCGGGACTCATGCTTGTCATCCTCTGAGTATTTGCCATAGGCGTCACTTTGCATGATCAGTAATTGGTACCCTTTATTTCTCATTTTAAGCACATCCCTTTTAATATATACTGGAGCCGGGAAAGGCAGCATTCTTGAATTGCGTGGCGTGAGAGAGGCTCGTCTCATACTACTGAATGTCAAAGCGGCTCCTCTCTGTCTCTTGTGAGAGAGTGACTTCAATGACATTTATTCAAGCTTATTTGACTTTCTGTTGGAATGCTGCAAGATGGTACTTGATTTGTACTGCTTGTAAGAAATAAGTGCTCCTCGATTGACGTAGTAGACGGTGTAGTTCACTTTAGACTGACGTGTCACATTCGGTGTATATGTGTGTATGCCTGTCTGAGTGTGTACATGCCTGTGTGCCTCTGATTCTGCATTGCTTGAAACACCTGAAATATAAGCATTGTGAAACCAGAGTAATACCCTTTAGGTGTGTGTGTGTGTGTGTGTGGGCGCGCGCACGTCCCTGTCTGCACATGTGATTGCATGTGGAGACGGTGTGTGTGCCAGCATCGTCGACAATTCTCGCCGTAGTGCTGAACCGAGCCCATCTCTAGGGTGCAACTCAAATTGATTAAATTTGCCAGGTAAGTTGAGGGGCTGACTTGAGGCTCCAAGCAATTATTTGACTGTGGCTAAAACAGGTGTGAAGAACAGATTCTCTTGTTCTATTCCGACTGCTGTTTTTCGGATAAATAAAAAAAAAAAAAAGTAAAGCTCTGTTGTCAAAAAGAACTACACAGCTCACAGCTCTGGAGAATGGCTAACCTCTGTAATCTGATACTCCCTTTAGCACATACAATATCAAAAACTGATATATCTTTCCCAAGATACAAATGTTTGAGTGTTATAGATTTGTCACTGCCATCTATATTCCTGCTCCACTATTGACTAGAATTCTTTATTCCTTGTGTCTTGGCCAGAGCATGTTGTTGAAGGTCCATTTGCATTGTTGTTCATTCTCATAATCAGAACATATTTATGCAATTAGTTATCATACTGTGTACACAGAGAATGTGAGTAAATGATGAATAGATTGGTGCGCTGCAGACCATTGGGATATCTCCTTGTGATTGAAGTGACTCGCAAAAGCGGTGGTTTACCATAGTCAGCTCTGGAGTTGTTGTGTGGAATAGAGTTTACTTTATTTCTTGTCATTGGTACATTGGCTGCAAAAGGTTCCAACAAGTTTGAATCGTATATATGCAGCGTGCTCGACTGCACACACACCAAATGTCTCCATAGGCGCCTGAGCATTGGCGCATACATATAATAAAAAATATTATTTTCCATCCTCAAGTTGTTTTTTCATATGAACTCCAGGCAAAACGATGGCTGGCCCTAGCCGGGCACATTTCCCTCTGTGGCTGTGCGCCGTGACCGGCTCCAGGTCGGCTTAGAAAGACCCCGACCCCAACACAACTCACAGCTTCCTGGTACCGTGAACTTAAAGCTCGCTGTGCCCTCTCTCCCTGCAGGAAGGGACGGGGCTCCCTTCTCCTATAGCAAGACTGTCTACCGCACGGCGGACTGTCGTCAGCGCGTCAGGGGTCCGCTGCAGTGTCGGTAACCCACCCCGACCAGTCTTAAAACACAGACCCCCGTCTCATTAACCATGCTTTGTGGGTGTGGCTTTTTTGCAGGGTCATCGCCTTTCATATCTATTCAACCAATGTGTTTGAGATTAAATATTGAACTCGAGCACAAAATAGTTTACAAGAGCACAAAGTTATTCAGAGATCTAGCCTCTTAATTTTGCTCTCAATGTGCACCAGATTGATGAATTTAACTTTCAAATGCACAGAATTTTCTTCCAGGGGTGTGAGTTACACCCACCAGAGTGTCACAAAATCCTATTGGAAACACTATAATACGTATATAGTGCAATATAAACTGAGCTTTATAGTGAAAGAGCAGCTTTATTGGTCATGATTGAAGACTCTATATTGCAGGAAATTATACTTTTAGGCGATAATTAAATGGAAATGTCCCTGCCACATTCCCCCCTTGCCTGTCACTTATCTTACCCCCAGACTTTTAACTATACTGTAACAAGAGGCGCCTATGGATTTCTCTACTTTTTCTTGTGGCTGTGATTCCCATCCTTCTTGGCTTGATGAAGCATTGTTTAATACGGTACCCTTTGAGTTTCCTTGTAAACATACAACGAGAGTCTACATTCAGCGATTCTGTCACATTGCGTGTATCCTTGAGGTCTTGCAAAGCAGTTTTCTTCGAACACCACTTTAAATCCTGCTTCGTTCACATCTATGTTTGCTAGCTAGTGGTCTCCTTCATCACTGCTTTAGTTGCTGCATCGCTTCAATCAGCAACACAGACGGTCAATCAGTGGAATAGTAAATTTTTCCTTTTCATATTTTTTATCAGGATTTTTAGAGGCCAAAAGACATAAAAGTATCCTGTATTTCACAAGCAACAAAACAATAAGTTCAGAGAAGCTGTGAAAGATTTTGTAATATAAATAGGTACATGTTTCTTTGTTCAGTCTTTCATCTTTTTGTGGCCGCCCAGATTGGCACCCCATAGCGGGTCCAGACATCCAGAGAAGAGACTTGTCTACTCTGCCCGCTCATGTTCATTGTCTCTCAGTTCCTTAATCAGTCCTTTTTTTAGTCTTATTCCATCAGAACGTTATGCCCCTTTGTGTTACTGGTATTGACATGCATAGTAGAACATTATGTCCAATTAATTACAAGTCCACTCTTTTCTGAAATGCCAAAAAATCCTGCAATTTGGACTGACAAGAGACCCGTAATAACAGAGAGCTACTGAGCAGTGTCGCACACATTTTCTCTCAAAGTGTTATGATTGCAAGAAGCAGCATCTGTGCAGTCTGTAGAGGGAACAGCTGGCCCGACTCCGACTAAGGGGTGGCCATTAGCTGCCCGCACACAGACCTCCCAGGAGCACCAGGTAAAGATGGCCAGGAGACAGACAGGCTAACATTTAATTGCACTGAAAATGGCCGCTAAAAATCTCTCTGATGGTCACCCTGGTGAGATGAAAAGAAATGGAGGATTGAGGTTGCGGTCTTGACAGGGGTACATGAAAAGAGACTGGGAAAAGCACTGATGTAACGACCGGTGTCTGAACAAAAGGGACAGTTAGCGACAGATCAGAAAAGCAGACGGACGGTTATATTGACTGGCAGACGACAGACAGAACTGATCAGTTGTCTGATGAACTACAGCACTGCAAGAGTAACATATTTTCAGTAGAAACAAGGGGAAAGGACAATCCAAGCACAAGCTACTCCAGGCAACATTATTTGCAGTGCAGGTCCTCATGTAACCTATTCAGCACTCTCCCAAACTGGCAGTATTCTCATTGGCAGATAAGTTAAATTAGTAATGATCGTACTGCCGCTGAGCATATTGACTTTTTCCCTCTTATCCATAGAAGCTTTTCCTTATGTACTCATATCTTAACTCTTGGCTTGTGTTTTCCTCTGCCTGTGTGTGTGTGTGTGTGTGTGTGTGTGTGTGTGTGTGTGTGTGTGTGTGTGTGTGTGTGTGTGTGTGTAATCATCCCAAAACATTCTGTAAAGGCATCCACTTTGCTCTGCGGTCACTGATGTGTAATTCAGTACCAGTATCTGACACAATATCCATTTCATGAGAGCTTTTCAATTTATAAACTACGGTAGGTCATTTCCAGGAAGATGCTTGCACATCTATAGAAGGAGCATCAAAGGTGTGTTTTAACAGATAGAATTAGATCCCGGTGCCTGCATTTGACCTAAACAAAATGTTGTTGATTGGGTAATTGTTTAGTTTATTTGGGAGGGGTTTGTATGTGTTGAGTGGCAGTGAGTATCAGTGCCGTCACAAAGCACCTTTCCAAACTTGTTAGAGCCCCGGTGTCTCCAAAAACTCCTATCCCTCCCTAATTAAGGAGAGGCTATTAATCTTTATTTATATAGCTCTCTTCTCAAAAAATGAAAAGTACTATGAAGGCAATAATAACACATAGGCATAAAAACAACAAGTTAACCAATAACACACAGAACATATCGAGGGAAAAGATCATTTATACAAGTACAAGAACATATAAGGGTGCAGCAGTAAAACCAGAACAAGCATTTAACAGTCACGAAGGCTTTCTTATGAGTAATACATTGAGAAGAAGAAAGAGTTGCGATGTTGTGTGTCCGAACTCAATGCGTTCAAAATCATTGTTAGTTTTTCAGTCCTCTATCATGAATAGTAAATACACGGCTTCAGTAATGATAAACTGCAATAAACTGAATATTTCATTTTATTTACTTTATTTAGCATTTCTCTGCCACTATGTGTGTTACAGTGTGCTGACTCGGCATTAAAGACAGTGTTTACGCATCGATGTAAGTGATGTTTATTGCTTAGTCTGTTGATATATTTAGATTTTCTTATTTCTGCTTGTACAGTCTTATTTCTCAACACTATTCATGGGAAAATACATGCAAACTTTGATTTCGGAAAATGTTTAATTCACATATTATTTCCCATGCCATACCACCACACCAAGCTTCTATTTGTATAATTTATAATTGTAAAGTTCTCTCAATTATTTTTTAAATGGATGTCTGGTTTAGTTATAAATATGAAATGGCCAAGATGTATCCTTAATTTCATCTTCCTATGTTCATCTTTGCTCACTCTGGTGTGGAAGGTAGCCACATATGAATTTCAAGCACATGTGCAATATTTATCATGTTTGCTTCTCGGCTGCTGCACATTCTATGACTTCTTACAGATCAAACAGCTTGTTTTCTCCTCCTCCATCCTGTCCCAAGAAAGGCCAGACAGTTTGCACACAGGAACTTGGAGATGTTTTCTTGGTCTCGGCTTAACTTTCCCACTCTTCTCCCCTCCATTCTTCTCTTCTGTAGATGCTTTTTGTCAGACTCTTGTCAACACCCTGGAGGGCACACCTGGTCTGCGCTACATTTGGAGCACCTTCAAGCAGTTACTGCAAGGAAAAGTCCTCTACACACCTGATACACCTGCTGTTCGTCTCATGGTGAAAGAGGTAAGAAAGCTGTAACTTGGGTACATGCACACGGACGTTTCATGCACTTGAAAAGTAGATGAATGCATCGCTCGTATCGGTGTGTGATATCAGCAAGTTTAGTGAAAGCGAAACAATTACTGTTTTGTTTCTACAGTTGATTATCTTCTATGCATAGGATCAGGCCAACTGCGCGTATTAGTAAGTGTGCCAAGTGTGAAGAAGCCTCCAGTGCTGAAATGAATAACACTGGCTGTCACACGAAGTTACCACCTGGGGAAGGAAAATAAAAACAATACAACAGTTAGTCAAGAGGCCTGTTCATAGAACGTGGTGAATGTAATGCATTTTCATGACGTGACATTTCTCCAAGATATTACCATCATTTTGATAACCGCATGAGCAAAACAAACAACAGAGAGGCCGCGAGGATTTTTCATTGAGAATGCATAATGAGTACGAGCAAAATCTGCAGACTTCACAGCGAGCGGTCCGGTGCTGGCGCAGGGGGCCCTTTTCACACCAGACATCGTCGAGATTGTTTACAAGTCAATGTTCAGGGGTAAATAGCCCCATTTACATTCATCACCATGGAGGGGGAGGAGGGGGAGGGGGGGGGGGTGGCGGTGGCGGTGTTACAATGTGATGAGTTCCTCTGGGGATTAGCTGAGATGTGGAGTACTTTCATGTTGGGATTGGCTCACGGCGAATAGAAGAGGCTCAGTGGGTATGCTCTCAGTCAGAGAAAGGTGAGATAACTATTGTTGTTAAAATTGATTATGAAATTATTGAATATTGATTTTCTTTTTTTTTTTTTCTTTTTAGGCAAATAGCACATTCAATGCCCTGGCTATGCTTAAAGAGATCGCTGATTCGTGGGATGAACTTGGGCCTCGTGTCTGGGATTTTTTTCAAAACGGCCGTCAAGTCAACGCATTACGGGTAAGACTCTGCATTCAAAATGACCGGATTCATTGTCCCCAACATTATTTTTTTTTGTTCCATTGTTTTGGAAAAAGAAGTAAAGAAAGCAAATTACACTTATTTCATTTAATTATAAACATGTATCAGTCAAATTTCACTTGCAGTACTTTTTGCTCCAGCTGGATAGTCTCAAACGACAGCTTTTGCATGATGCTGTTTGACATTTAACCTGTCCAGTACAAACTTAAAGGATTAGTGGGACATTTTGGGAAATAAGCTATTTTCCCCAGAGTAACATTGATACCACAATGAAGCTGCAGCTAGGAGAGCATTAGCTTAGCATAAAACATGTAAACAGGGGCAAACATCAGCCTCTTTTAAAAAACATTTTTCGGTAAAAAGCACAACAAAATGAAATGATGAGCCTTATATATATATACTGCAGGTGAGAGTATAACTGTTGTGGATATCAATTTGTTGCACCTTCTGTTAGATATGGAAACCGAAGGAGGAAAGTAATTATGGATAAGTGCAGGATAATTTTCATCCTGGCAGAAAGGATTATCTATAGAAGTAGAGGACACGGACTCTTCGCCACCACTTCTCTCACTCCCTCCCTCCCTCTCTCCTTCTCTCTCTCTCTCTTTGCCTCTCCCCGTATTGCTTTGACACTGACATTACTCCAGTGTCACTCCAAATGAGCTTATAGGCAGCTGGAGGGAAGCAGACATTGGGAGCTCCATATAGCCAGGGTATTCATTACCCTAGCCCTAACCTTTACACAAATGGGCCGGCAATCCTCTTTTGTCTTCATTTTCTCCCAGCCCGGCGCTCTCTCTCTCTCTCTCTCTCTCTCTCTCTCTCTCTCTCTCTCTCGCTGTCTCTGTTTGTCTCCCTCTCTCTCTCTCTCCCTCTCTCCACATCTCGCAGTTACAAAGCTGGTGGCTTTGGAGGTCTGTCATCTTCAGAGGTTCTTCAAGGTTGCAGACACGGTTTACGTTGATGGACCAATTACCATCACCACCATAACTACATTTGAGATAGACGATCTAGGGTGTAGGACAAGTGTAAATGTTTGAAAGCATGGTCGACGTAACTACCTACGGCTTTGCGTCGTGTTTACGGGTTAGAAGCTGAACTCCTTAAGATTTCATTCCCGGTTGCTTTGGTGGCGCCCGTGGTTACTATGGTAACAGCAAGCACAGTTTAATACCGCAGGTCCCAGAATTGCAGTGCAGCCAAACAGACCGACTTTGTTTTAACCTCTTGCCACTCTGACGGATGTCAATAATCTGCCTTTTTCCATCATGCCATGAACAACTGCAATGTGATTTCATGCTGCTATTGACGGAGGTAGTTTTCCAAACAACAGCAGGGGACGGTAAATTACTTTTCTGAGAAGTTTTAATAACACAACTTTTTATCTGACAGCTCACTGTGGCTGGTCCACCTTGTTCCACTACCCACACTAATATTTAAAGGTGATTGCATTTTTGGGTGATGCGGTTAGGCTAACAGCAGTGACAAAATACCCTGCTTTAATACTTTCATTGTGAGGCAGCAGCAGCAGTAGGACGTTCTGTTTGCGTTAGCAGTGACTGAATACAGCTCTGACACGGTGTAAAGAAAGCAAGGCGTTAACAGTCAGGCTGTTATCAATAGATAATTAGATAAATATACAGAAATCGGATAAACTTACATTTGCTCAATCCCGTAACCTGTCAGCTATGTTAACATTTTAACAATTGCTACAAGGATATGTCCATTTCTAAAGGCAAGCAAATACATGTCACTTCCTCACTAGGAGATCCTCCCACGACAAACAATTGACACATGACCAACAAGGTTAAATGGCACATCTCCAACTCATTGACCCGAGTCCCACCGAAATCTATGCCAAATGCAGTTTGAGGCGGATGAAGAGTTCAAATCCTTAGCCTGTCTAACAGTCACAGTCAGTTGCTGTTTCAGAATGACTCACAGAATATTTTTTGATGGGTCGTGTCCTAAATGTAGCACCCGCTAAGACGGATGTGTTGATTTTCTTTTTTGAAAAGGTCACATGCAGCATAGAGATTACTTAATTTGACACTTTGTTTTAAGGTTAAGCAGATTACCATCAGGAGTGTTGACACTGAAAGGCCACTGAGCGCACTGGCCGGAATATATCTGAATCTCAACAAGAAATTTCTGACTTTAGAGGCCCAAGTCTCTGCTGATATCCTGCGCCCTTTCCTCTTCCAAAGTCCACATGGTGGTGTGAGCCATACATAATCAACGACTGGAATATTTGGTTTTCAAGGAAGGAGAAGTGATTTCTTTATTCCCCTGAAATAATAAACGGTTGTGTAATTTTAATAACCCGTTATCTCAGTGGGGTGAGGTTCCTTTTCAGTGTTCCCCTGTGTACATGACAGGTAAATTACCACTGTTATGTTTAATTTTAGTTTATGTAGTAACACTGTCATTACAGGAACAGTGTCGTATAACTAATTGGGCATTAATCTCATAGCAGCCTTAAACTATGAACATACTGGGTGGGAGTGATGGGAATGAATGTTTGTGGCTACTAAATAGAGGGCAACGCAATAAAACAAACATGTGGGAGTAAAAATATCGAATTATGCCAGAGCTGCTGTTTCAAAGAGCTTAGAACCATTTATTTCTTGCAAAACAAAAAATGCCTATACATGTCTATTTATGTATACAGTGTGTAGGTAAGTACAAGGTTATATTTGCTCCCAGGTCAGCATATCACTTTTATTAATTCACTGCATGATTGAGCAAATACAGTTTGATCCATGACCCGAGATGACTGAGAGGCTTCACAGATATGTTTCTTATTATGTTGCTGCGGGGGATTGTGAGGAGTATATATATCTCTGTTTTGTGCTCTTGAATTTAGTTTGTCCGTTCCTATGTTTGTGTGCACAGTCTTCATTTGTGTTCATTTTCACAGTCCGGCCCTGAATATACTGTTAATGTGCATATGCTGTGTGTGTGTGTGTGTATGTGTGTGTGGGGGGGGTTTGTACTGTTTGAATGAGCACTTCTTGGCCATGAGAATAGTTGACGTGTACTCCGGAGCCTGAAGTACAACCGTGCCATCTATCTTGATGCTCCGAATTAATGCTACAGAAGAATGAATGTCACTGCCACCAAAGCACAACTCTGACCTCCCATGCTTTCTCCCCTAAAATAATTAGCCGTGGCCTAATATGCTTTGGTTTTCAAATTCCATTGCATTCATGTCATGTTCATTCGTAACCTCTCACTAGTAACCAGAGTAGCTAATTAAACCCATCTCCTTGCCTTTGCAATCAGGCTTTCCTGGCAAATCCAGTGTTTGCTGCTGCCCTCAACCAGCGTCTCAACAGCACGGGATGGACAGGCGAGCTGCTGGCCAACTTCCTGTACAACGGGCCTCCAGAGGATCGTCCACCCGGCATGCCGCCTTACGACTGGCGGAATGCTTACAACACCACTTCCAAAATCTGGAAGCTTCTCTCTGACTTCCTTGGTGTATGTAATTCTTTTGTCTGTGCTTTTATGAAATGCTTGGTGGTATGCTAAGAACGTGATCTAGGTGAGCTAACGTAAGCCATGCCGAGCTAGTGCAGCAGCATCTTACACATTAAATGGTAATTTCCCCGATTGTGGCATGTAAACAATTTGCAATTGCCACACATACTTTTACCTGCAGACGTAAAGACTTGTAAAAGTGCTGTATCCCTGACATAATTGCTGCTCTTTCTTTTACTCCTGTGTCTTTCTGTTCACGACTGTGATACCACTCTGGCAGAACAGCAGGGTGCTGCAGAAAAAGGAGGTTGCTTAACATCTAAGACAAAATGTGTCCATGTTTAGCACAATGTTTTTTGGTTTCTTAGCTCTTGTGCTGCTGTGTCTGTGCTCTGCTGCTGTTAAAACCAAAAATCAGGACTTTTCCAGGTGATATGTAGGCTTTTTATCTTGCGCACTCTATCAGTTCTTGTGTTTTTTTTTTTTTTTTAAGAACACGCTAAAAAGTTCTTTTATTCATTAAAGTTTAATGTCCTTGAGATAGCGAACTGTCAAACGCACAAGAAGATCTGTCACTACATTGCTTCTACGATAATCATAAAAATGACTATAGTGAATCTGTATCAAACAAAGTGGTGTCTCTAAGTAGGAACACACAGTTTGACAGTGATGTATTGATCTCTGGCACAGTTTGAAGCAAAATCCTTATTTCTCTACGTGTGATAAAACATGTACAAAGCCCCTGCCACACTCACATACACACACATTATATCAATCTACAGGCAGGTGAGATGGCAGGTTGGGCCCTTGGGGTTAGCCATACACGGCCAATGGAATTCCAACATAATGCAATCTATTTTCCGCCCTGATGGAAATTGCATTGCTCAAAATGGATATCAGGATATGGACGGCTATTAGACAACCTTTACTGTGGTGTCCTCTTGTCTGGGTGAATACATCTTTAGGGAAATAGAGAGTGCCTTTCAGTCTAGGGCTGAATAGTATATACTTTCAGTACTGACAATGCAACGGTCAGGTGCAATAGCCATAAGGCAAATCAATTAATATAGTAATGCAAATTAGGCCCAACGTGACACAGTATATTATCTAACTTTTAATGAATGAATAATTCTGGATCTTTATAAAGTGAATGGTATATAAGTAAATGTTCCTAATTTGAATTTTCAAATTGCCACTGCCCTGCTCCATTGATGAACTGCCCCACAATTTAATATATTAATAGTGGAAATAATATTATTAGATAATAATAATAAAAAAGAATAAGAGTAGCAATAGTCATGTAAACGGCATAATGGGTCATTATGAATGTGTTCATGGCAGCAGTAATAGTAGTAAAGTGGGAATAACACTTCATTAGTAGCTTCAGATGACATGGTTGAGAATGTTGCATTGCAGCAGCTTAGTAATGTATTGCATCAACATTTAGGGCACTTTTAAGTAGTTTATAGGATGAATCTACTGTATGAGCTACTATAACTCCTGTAGTCTCTCCAACTTGAGTAAATAAAGTAGATTTTCTATTTCTTTTTTTATCCACAACAAGCACGATGCAACCACAACAACTCAATTTGTGGCCCCGGATGTGGCCAAGATGGGATTGGCGAGCTGTTAGTGGGGCCAGTTTCTCAGTCCAGAGCCAGGTCGGATTGTTGATATCAGACAGATTAGCCTTAGCTGCTGGTCCAGTGGTCAAAGACCAAAGAACACCCACAATGCACTAGCAATCTTATCTCTTTTAGAAACATCATGGTTGGTAAAGCTTGTCGTCCCAGCGAATAGTGCTGTTATTTAAAGATTAAATAGAGAGAAAGAAATGCTATTTCTGCAGTAGACGGGGATATGTATTCGTTAGATAGTTGGTTCTGATCTATTGTGATTTACTTCAGTCATCAGACGTGGCGGTTAACATTGTAGCTCCTATCACTTGGTTTATGTATAGCATATATTTCACTCAGCACTTTGGTTCAAACTTTGGGCTCACCTAAGCGTTCCACAGCTGTGATATCCTCACTCGTTATGTCCTGAGCAAATGCTGTTGCCGTGATATTTTGTTTACCACCATAGCTTGATATAGAATACAGACTGGAGAATCCTGGGGGAGAAATGATAAAACTATTGCAGCACAGGGATGTGTGGACAGCTGTCAGGTGTGACTGCCTCCCGGGATGGCTGGCTCATTATCGTTTCATGAAACAGGGGGACAAGGCTACAGAGCGGGGACTGCTAGCGAGGCTGGATCTCATTTGCTTGTCTCTGCTGAAGCCCAAAACATTTCCCCACCCCCTGGCAGCTCCAGATAATTTGGAACTGCACTCAGCACGATTTAGTCAATAGCTGAGTGATACTTTTCAAAAAATATCCATCTGCCATCTTGTCCGTAAGTTCATACCTGCCTCTGTTTTATTCCCTATTTTGTGGATACTAAAGATGTATATAAAACAGCAATGATTATATTAAAGAAGCCGTTTCTTTTTTTGTGATACCTCTGTATTCGTTGACAGTGTTTGGAACTGGATAAGTTTGAGGCGGCCCCTACCGAAAGCCATCTGGTGAGCAGAGCACTGGAGCTTCTGAACAATGATACGTTGTGGGCTGCCATCGTCTTTGAAAACCTCCAGCCGAACTCCAGCCACCCCCCTCCATATGTCAAATACAAAATCCGCATGGACATTGAGATGGCAGAGCGTACCAACAAAGTGAAAGAAGGGTGCGTGACACTGCTCAGCCTCGCTGTTCAATACAAATAAGGGATTGCTGTCATACCTACTGAAAAACTGTAACCATATTTTACGCATCACATTATATTGATTATTGAATTGAAGGAATAATTTGACATTCAGGGAAATGTGGTTACTTGCTTTTGCTGAGCGTTAGATTGATGCAACGCTCACATCTTTATGCTAAATATGAGTCCAGAGCCATCCTGGTTAACTTAGCCTGGCATAAAGACTGAAAGGAGGGAGAAACAAACATGTTAATTAGTTAGCTTTACAGGTGCTGTTCGGTAGATTGTATTTATTTATGTATTTTTGCCATTGGACAAGGCTAGCTGTTTCCCCCTGTTAAGATGGGGATTAAGTTAAGATCGTCTCTTTGCTCTAGCTAAAGAACAAACGGCACTACTAACCTAACCTTTCGACATACCAACACAAGCTGTTACCCCCTGCTTCCAGTTTTCAGTATTTATGCTACGCTAAACTAATCTAATCACCTGCTTGCTTTAAATTCGTACAGGTATGAAAGTGGTAAGAGAGCTGAAAAGTGTATTTTCCTAAAGGTCAAAGTATTCCTTTTAAGCCTAGAGATGAAGAACGTGTTGTGTTTTATTGTCCTTTCTGCATGCCAAAAGATCTGATCTTTTTTTTGTCTTTCAAAGTTTATTGTCCAAAAATATGACCTCTATAAACAGTCATGAAACTTTGACAGTGTTTCTGACCATTCTGGTTGTAGTTCACTTGCCCTTTGCTAAGACAGATCATAGTGTGTCTGCTTTTAATAAGGTCATGGTCTCCCGGGGCTCGAGACAACTCCTTTAACGACCTGCGCTATATATGGGGAGGCTTCGCCTACCTGCAGGATATGATGGACCATGGTATTATACGAGCACAGACGGCAAAGACCCAAACACTCGGAGTTTTTGTACAGCAAATGCCATACCCCTGCTACGTGGATGACGGGTGAGTACAAGCTTCTTTTTTCATCTTTCAGCCTTGTGATTACTGAAAGAGGAAGGCGGTGATACAGCAATACAAATCTGCTCACTCTGGGGAGTTGCCACTCACTGCCAACATGTAGTTGAGTTATGGTGGTACCAGTCACTCAGGCCTTCCACATTTCCCTGTGGAAAGTTCAAGATGCTTCCACTTATTTGTCTAACTTAACCTTTCTTTAATCTTTGTGTTGCTCTTCTGTGAGTATCTTATGCTACTGCTGATTACCTATGAAGGGACAAAGGTAAGCAGCTTCTCTTATGATGTCACAGTTAAAAGTCTGTAATAAGAACGGAACATCCTTGGGGATCATTAATTAATAATAAATCGAGGCTCAACAAGGGAAAATAAATAAATTAAGGCGGCGAGAGGCGAATGAGTGTGCGGAAACTATTGATTTTAGTAAAACCACAGGAAATTCGTGAATACTTGATGGACGCTAAATTATTTAACCAACCACCATGACTCCCTTCCTTTCTTGTATTTCCGAGGCATTTCTTTCTCAACAAAGTGAGCGTGCTTCACCCCACGTTTCATAACTCCTTCATGTGCAAAGATTGGTAGAGGGACTCCAACTGTGTTTTGTATGCATCCATCGATAGCACTGGCTTCCATCATGTTAGATGATTCACCTAGGGACCGGGATGATGTGGTATCACTCTTAATCTTCCACAGCAAAAGATTTCCTCAGAGTCTGGGAAATTACTCCCATCCACATAACATTATGATCTCCATTAATAAAGGAAAAGCCCAATGATGCCATCAAGAGCGAAGATAATTACCAGGGAGATTTAAGTCCAACAACACAATATGCCTCTTTCACGAGACACAAAATAGTCACTCCCTGTGGGAAAACGCAGTTCCAGAAATTAGGGATCTAATTTTAAAATATGATATGCTTTGGATAGCACAGAATTTACAATAAAGAAACTGAGAGAGAGCTTTTGAATCGACAAGAAGCACAAAATTCTGACTTCATATTGAAGGTGCATTTTGGCAGCTAATGTCTACATGTTTTAAATAATCATGTCCTATTCTGTACCACAAGAATGAAAACCAAATTCTATGTAATGGTTTTAATTGATATGGCTTTCATTATCTGGGTTTTCTATTGGTTCATTATTAAGTGCTTTCCTTCTGATTTACATTTACGTTGTTGCTTTAAGATTACATGCAGCTTTGCACTTTATTTTGTAGCTGCCGTAGTAAAGCTAATTTAAGACACACATTTCACATTTGTTTTAACTGCGGTGGGTGCGCTTGGTTTGGTGTGCCAGGCAATGGGATAGTTTTAGAAGTACTAATTGGAGGGATGTTGGACTAAATATTGCACCCAGTGGAAATGTTCATCTGAGAGAAATTTTGGCCTTTTGAATTAACTACAGTGTGAAAATCACCCCCTCTATACATTAAAGAGTAAAACACACTGCAATCAGAACAAGACATTTTCTTACCGTACCTGTTAATTCAAGTACAATAACAACCAAAACACCAAGTTGCTTAATATTCTAGTAACGCACAGCACTTTCAGAGGTGGCATGCTGAATATGCTGATCGTCGTCATTTGCAGCTTATTGTTGTGATAATGATCTGAAATTAGACATGATACAGCTTATTTGCTAACGCGCAGGTCCCACAGCCTCAGTTTCATCTTCCTAACACAAAGGATTAATAATTACATAAGATGAATTGGAGCCATAAAGCGCTGCAATATCCCAATTCCCTCCGCCATTTACTCTTTTGCCTGCCATTTGGGCATTTCTATAAATTATTAACACTTGAAAACTGCTATTTCATTCATAAATAATTGATGGTGAAATCACACAAAGGAAAGATGTGCTACAACACAGAGAGAGGATGGGGAAGAACCTTGGTGGTAATTATTTTGATCTCGAATTGTGTAGTGTCGTCAGCCAGAAGGAAGGAAAGAACATTGTGCATTCAGACAAGCATGCTCGCTGTCTGCTGAAACTTTTTTTCTGTTTCAGCATTTAGTTACGTTCAGAATGGAATATAAGAATCTTCTTCAGTTGGGAAATATGAGATGAATAATATACATATGTATATATATATATATACACAATATACCCTATAGGGCTAATATGTTCTTGCAGTAGCATTATTAAATGCAAAATACTAGTTTTAACAAACATACAGTAATTGGACGTAACTTAATTAAGTAAATTAATTTCTCGTTTTTTATTATTTAGGTTTGACAGTTTTACAATTTAAATCACGGAAAATATTTCAATAGAATCTCAGGAAACTGTTGCCAACTACACCATTAGTTTCTGTGAGAAGGCCTCATCATCACCGTCTTTTTATCTTTGCTCGGTTCCTTTCACTCTCACAAAAACAATATTTCTACTTCACTGATACTGAACTTCAACTAGCAAGGCAGTATTATCTGCACCGTCCTCAACACGGATCAAAACTACTATTTTTAGACCTGCCTTTGAAATGCTATCCTTTTTTGCGTTCCTCATTTCCTCCTGACTGTAATACACCTGATGAACTAGCAGCAATCTGGGCCACAGTCAACCACGGCTGCCCCTGTTGGCATTTCGAACTTGAGATAAACCAACCTGTATTAGCTTCCCCTGTCTTCATATTCACATTGTGCACAGGCCTGAGATGATGTGTGGGATAAAGCTTGACCCTTGCAGGGCCTGATAGCCCGTAGACTGGCCCTTTATCAGCGGCCTCTGCGCCAGTGCACGCTGCTGAATCAGAGGCTTCTCTTGTTTGGATACTGAGGCTGTGCTCCGGAAGACTGCTTTCAGCAATACATGACATAGGGCCACAGTGGGCGTGAAGACTATTCAACTTAAGGATGTTGGAGGAATATGCTTTTGTCCATCTAAATTAGCTAATTAACTTTATGTGAGCAATGTTGAGCATATTTGGGACAAGTGATGTTGTGTTAGTGCCTCTGCTCCCTGACATGCTGTAGTGGAAATATTCCCTGTATGTCTCACCTACATGGTCGAAAAAGGGCTTAAAATGTATTAAAGCTTTACAAATATTCTTTATTCTTGCTTATATGAGAATAGTGGGTAACAGGGGCATGTACAGTACAGGCTGTATATTGATTTATTTAAACAATCTGGGTACCAGGATTCCCACATACTGTATTTTAAACATGCTAAATGGTCACAATAAACATCAAGATGTTGATTAAGGCTGAAGCAGATTGCGCAAAAGTCCAATGGCAGATGTTGCTGAATGCATATCATCCAAGAACATGAAGCACGTGAAGTTCTTGTACCTTTGATCACATATCAAATATGACTATATATATATATATATATATATATATATATTTCTTTTTTATTCTTTTTTTCCCTTTGCAAGCAGAATGGCAATTCAGAATAATTTGGATGAAGATGTTTAATTTCAATTTTCAATTTCGCTAAAACAACATTTTTGTGAAATATTAGAAAAATAAAATGAATAAAATAATCTTTAAACTTAAATTGTTTCTAAACATTTTGCTTCACTGTCGGCTCACAGAATTGTACTTCTTATTTTTAGATGGGATTCTTCTGTTACAAAACCCCCTGTAAAACACGACATATAGGTTCCTAAGTGCTCTTTATGCCATAACTGCATGCAGAGTTCTCCTTAAGCAATAATTTGTACCAGCGATGATATAATCCACATTGAATAATAAAGTCTGTTCCCTTCAATGAATTGCTCATTTCCATCCAGCCAAGGAACTCAATGGTATATTTGCTCATAATGAGACAGGAAGCATAGAACACCAACCTCTGGGGAAGCTGTGCTCTACTATCTCTCGATTTACTGAGAAATCAGTCTTCTAGCTTGCCTAAATTTAGGTCAGGCTGCCAATGTAACTGGAGCCCCGTAACACAGACCTGCCGGGAGTTCTATTACTTAAGCACCCTTGATCGATCAGCGAATGTATAATTCAAGAGCATCTGGTTGCAAGGTTGTCAGTGTCAGACACGGTGTGCATGACTGATCTCTCCCCCTTTAGTGCTACAAGTCACAGAAGGAGTTAACTCACACAAGCTGTCAGCTGTTAGAGATGTTAGGGTGGAATCGGGAGCAGATAATACCAGAATTAGTATTCAACCTGATGCCTTTGCAACTTGAGACTGCTTACCTCCCTAGAAAAGGTGTTAATGTACGAGTTAGCTTTGTTTGTTGAAGTGTATAGATTTCAAGCTCATAGAGGCAATCGTATTCATATAATCTTGTAACGAATTTTGGTTTTATAGTTGCTCTGGGTCTGAACGCCAACCAATCCTTTCTTGCTGCTTATCAAGGCGTTGTTTGAAAGTGATCAATCCCACAGGGGCAGTGAGGAGTGTCCTTGAAAATAAATCTGTCTCTCTCGCATTCAAGTTCTTATAACAAAACTCCGCATACGAAACAATGTTTTGCATGACTGAAACTTATAATGAATGTACTTGAAAACATGTTGCATCTCCATTAACTTAAATAGCTTGAAAGATAAGCATCATTCTGCCAATTACTGCGTCTTCAGTTTGTGCTTCATCCGTGCTGAGCTGTGCTTCGCTTGCATTATATCGCCAATATTTATGGAACGTAAGCATAAGTTATATGTGAAATCTATACTTTGTCAAAATCCATTTGATATCCCTCCTTCGGTGTCTAATAAAGCAAAATAAGCACTTTGTTATATTGGCAGCGGAGATGATATTGACATGGCATTTTGGTGGCATTATGAAGCCAGTGTAATAACGCTTTATTGTATTGTAACCGCATAAAATCATACGTCATGTCTGGCATGAGGTGCAGCACTAAATGGCTTGATTGAGCTGATGCACCAGGTTTATGAAGGTTAGATCGGTGTGAAAATAAAAACACCTCCGTGGCATTGAGTCCATGAATACAACTCTTGATTGTCCCTCTGATAACAATGTTTAGTATGCGCAAAATAGTTTCCAATTTATTTTTCATAACCGGGGCTAAGTACAGACTAAGATTGCAAAAGGCAACCTTTACAATAGAGCATGCATTCAAAAAGCTGACTATTTGTTAGATATCCTTTAGGCCATTATCTTTATCAGCAATTCATCTTTCTTTCTCTCAAATGTCATAAAATAGTCGAAAATACTCGTGGCACCTCCTTGAAGTCAAAAGTGATATCTGTTATTAAAAAGATATTCGATTTACTATCGCATAAGAAAATGAATAAATCCTCACTTTGCATGTGAACTTTAAAAACCAGTTACCAAAATAGTTGCAGTTACATTTCTTGTTGATGGACTAATCGATTTATAACTACAGCTCCTGATATCGCCGACCGTCAGTGTAGTAAATCAGGTATTTTCGTACAATCGTGTGAAGAAGGAAGTGCGCACATTCAGCAAACTCCTCAACAAAACAACAATTGTACACAAAGTTTCATCACTCACACAACTTTCTTATTCACCGTTGTAGTGGGACATTTTCGATTTGTCATCGCTCTTCATGACGTGCATCTCATTTCATTCTCCAAAAACTGTCTTTAAAAAAAAGGAAAAGCGCACTAACACTCAATAACTCCCTGTTATAGACAACCTTATACACTCCACATATACTCCTTTTGTCAATGTGCAGCCCTGACCTTTTTGATTGCTTTCTTTTACAACCAGCTTCATCCAGAATATTGGCGGCATCCTCCCCATGTTCCTGGTGCTGGCCTTCATGTACACCGTGTGCATGAACATCAAAGACATTGTGCTGGAGAAGGAACTCCGGCTCAAGGAAGTACTGCGTGTTGTTGGCATTCAAAACGGTGCCCTGTGGTCGGCAAGGTTCACAGAGAACATTGTTCTGCTCGCAGTTCCCTGTGCGCTCATGAGTGTCATAGTTAAGGTCAGTAGAAAAAGAGTCACCCAGTGGATCAATGTACCAAAACACAAAGCAACATGAATATGATGCATGCACGTACATCCTCAATGTGGCTGCATTTTTGTGCGAAATTTCAGATAGAAAGTCAAATTATAAACGTGCCAAAGATCACAGTACCGCTCATCAAATGCAGCAGGACTAAGAAACAGGTTGTGCAGGTCAGAGAATTTGACATGCTTTGTGTTTTGGTATTTTTGATGTTATTAATCATAACCAATTAATGAGCACACAATCAAATAATTCGCCGTGATTCTTCAAATCAGCTTCCTTGTTCTAATTGATTGAGCTTGTAGCCAAAAACTGCAATTAAGCCAAATAGAAATCACGGCAGCAGTATTCGCCTTATACATAAGGACGGCTTCCGTTATGTCATTTAAGTAGTGATCGTTGGCACTGTATGTTTCCATGATTGCAATGGAAATTTATTATCGTTGGCTACTGGGGACGCTGTGCACTATGTTACATTAAGTCAAATCGAATTTGCAGGGTAATAACCGTAAGTGGGAGGAATAGCGGTGCCCCAAAGACCTCAAGTTAAGAAAGGGGCTCGAGTGCGTGGACACAAAATACCTTTGGCAGCCCTGGAGTTTGTATTTTGTAATGCACAAGGCTCTGATTTGTATGAAAAAGTAAGATAAATGAACTGTGATGTGAAACAAATATGGACAAACAAGATTCATATTTGTCTTGTTTTTTTCCTGTGCTGACTAAAAAAAAAATTGACCCCCCTCAGAAGTGATTTGAACTCCAGAGTACTCGTCAAAGCACCGTGTTTAGATTTATTGTATCGGGACTTTCACCAGCCTTTGAACTCATGCATACTGTACGCAGGTCGGAACAGTATGAAAGAACAATACGCGTCTAACATCATCACAGGAATAACTTTGCAATGCAAAATGGAGTTGATGTTGTTCCCAGAAAAACAATGTGAGCAACATTAGTTGTGAGCATTATGTGTTTCCTGTTCAGCAAATGTCTACCTACTGGAAACATGTGGTTTCAGTTGTTTACTTACTGATCGCCCTGTTGGATCAATGATTATGTGGGATGTAATGGATTCGCTTATCTGTTGGAATGATCCTGCTTAAGGATCGATGAGTGAAGAGGCACATTGCACAGTCATCACAAAAGGGAGAGCCTTTGGGCCTTTATGCAATATCCGATGTGGCAGCGTTATTATTGCTCTCCCTTAGATACGAGCCCATCTTCCGACGGCTTTTGTAGTCGTTGTTAGCGAGATTAAAAAGAATTGTTCTTTTAGGTCGACCTAATCAATTTCCGCAGTTTAATTGGGAAATGCGGCTGGTAAATAAAAACTGATATTTGAACAGCTGGGTGAAATGTAATTTCCCATCAGCCTAATGTGTTTCCAAGCCATCAACAATTTGTAAACATTAATAACAATAAATTGAGTTAGTTGAGTGCCTTGGAGGAGCAACTGCAAACATGATGTGTATTCAGATCACAGGCCCGTTCTAAATGATAATTTCACAGCCATTTCCAGCACATTAATAATAATAGCAAATCAAATGGTAATTATCACGAGGCTGTATCTGGATACGGGTTGACAACAAGCGGTTTTGTCACCTGCACCTGAGTCCTCTGTCATTTTGCACTTGTTTTCTCTTCCGTTACAGAGGAGGTAATGCATTTATTATTTGGCATCCAGACTGATGTGCTGGCACCATTTCCACATCTGGCTCCAGTCTCAAACCAGCTGAATTAAGGTGTCGCTTTCATGAAAGCCAACACTGATCAGTGATGATCAATACGCGTTTCTTCTCGCCCAAACAGCTTGTCCTCGTGTTGACAATGTGAGACCACCTTTTAAATGCTTGGTCATGTTTGCACTCATCATTAGAAATGCAATTAATTTGTTGTGCACAACAACACTGACGGTGAGAAAAGAATGCAAATGGCAGGGTTAGAGAGCACCTTCACAGTTGGAATCACTTTTTCTCACAGTACTAACAACAAATCCATATTCAAGTATCTTCTCTGGAAGGGAAAAAAACGATTAGCAAATGCCGGCTTAAGAATATAAAAAAGATCAGCCCAACATATTAAGAAGTCACACACATTTTCCTCTTCCATCTATCGCTAAGGAAAATGAAACTCACATAATTAGCAGAATCACATAACAGTAATTCGGATTAATTTAGGGTAGGAATGTTAAGTTCTGCGATTAGATGTCATTATCCAGATAATGTGTCCAGATACAGATTACATGTTAATACCAGATGTAATTGGGGTCATTGTCTTGTGTGGTCTGGGCTCCTCCACCCTTCAGGTTCCTCCGGTTTCTGTCAAGCTCCCTCCCCTTATACATGACTTTAGCCTGGATATACTCGGTGGCCATGATCGTTAAGGGCATCGTGGCAGAGAAAGAGGCGAGGCTTAAGGAGACCGTGAGGATCATGGGCCTCAGAGGTGCCATCTATTGGCTGAGCTGGGCGGTGTCCAGTGTGCTGCCGCTGGCCTTCAGCGCTCTCCTCCTTTCCCTTATACTGAAGGTGATTTCAAAAGTGATTTAACAATGATTCAAGGAGGACCCAACACTTCTTTTGGAGAGTTATGTCTGTCAAGTCGAATGGAGTGATGAGACTTTTGTTTAACATACAGAGGAGAAAGCTAAACACTAAAATGAGATAATTGTACTTGGAGCTAGCACAGTTGTATTTGAAAAGTTCATTTAGTATGTGCAAATGTAGTTTTTATAATGGACATTCATACAGCTCCATGTAACAGTGTCCTCTGTCAGGATTATAATTGCATCCGTTACAATAGCACCATTATCCAACGGTTCAAGTGCCTTTTTGAATTGGGCTCCGAGAAGACATCAGCATTATGGTGTAATGTGGGAGAATGGACGGCTGCACGAGTAGCTCACTAAAACCGGAGAAGGGTCCTCCTTCAAAAGTGGCAGAGTAAAAGAGTGACAGGTTTATTAGATAATGTAAAAAATATATCAACTGTAACAATGTTCAGGTGAATCAGAGATATTGATACACCAGATATGTTATACGTTATGTATACTGGATTCAGAGCAATAATACAGCCGCAAACAACAATTTGCAAAGTAAAGATATCGTGGATTAATGACTACCTGAACAGAGAATGAGCATACCCTGCTACCCGCCGGCTCAGCTGTCTCCATTTTGAGAGCCGTGTTGAGGCTGTAGGTATGCTGCAGTCTGATTTCCATATTGAGCACCTTTTAACCCTTTCAAGAAAACTCTTTTATTCTGCCCACTGTGTTGTAAAAATGAACTCAAATAATCACATTTACTGAATCTCTTTGTTTCCTTTATAAAAAAAATCTGCAAGACAACCTCCTCGACCACAACTTAAACTTTTCAGGGTTCTTTTGACGTCAGATTCACAATTAAATTTGTTCTTTTGTCTTCTCACACAGTATGGCAAAGTGCTGCAATACAGTGACCCCTCGGTGATCTTTGTCTTCCTGCTGGTGTTCTGCCTGGCCACCATCACTCAGTGCTTCTTCATTAGCGTCTTCTTCTCTAAGGCCAATTTAGCAGCGGCGTGCGGTGGCCTCATCTACTTTGTCCTCTACCTGCCGCACGTCCTTTGCTACGCCTGGAGGGACGTCATGGGTTTGCAGGCCAAGGTTGCAGTGGTGAGTCCGTCTTTAGCTCTGACATAGTTTTTAATATCTTCCCTAGCTGTTATCATACATGACTGTCTTTTGAGTTATATTCTTAGGTTGTGTTTCTACCACCATAATCATCCTTTTTGCAATCCCTGTCATTAATCCCTTATCTTTTACCTTTAAATCCAAACAGGCACAAGACTGATTTGATTGGTGTTGGTTGTTATAAAAGGAAGTGAATTCACTCCCACTGTCGATAATACAGTATCTGTGAGAGATTTGTCTTTGTCTTTTAAGTTTAAAACACAAAAGCGTTTAGAAATTGTTTTCGATATCCATACTGTTATTATGCATTTGGTTCCCGAACAGAAGAACTATTTCAAAAACTAGACAGAAACTTGAAAAATTTCCATAAAAGACGAGACTAGAAGGAGATCGTGAGAAAGTTGGTGATTTTCTCACTATCTTATGAGATAAAGATAAATAGTCCACCATTGCTCAACTTTCAGTGTAGCCTTTCTGCCTGACCTTTATGGCGCTGCCCGTATCATTTGTCCTTCTGCAGAATAAGACACACAAAATCTTGAATCTTCATTGCCGTGTGAGTGGATCTCCCCAGAATTTCAATCAGCTCATGTTTTCTTATTTGTCAATTTCAGCAATGCGGTATCGGGTGCAGGTGGCCAAGGCAAACAGTCTTGTGTTTCTTATTTGTTGAATTGAAGTTGTGGCAGTCAATAATATCCTACATTGGCACCTGACAGCAGTCACTTCTGCTTTCACCTTTCATCTTCTCACACTTTGTAGACCTCGCTTTTTACAGCCAGCAGTGGCAACATAGCATGCTGAAATTGCTTGTCTATGAGTAAGTCCTTTTTAAAATTGTGTCATTCTTTTGCTTTAAAAAAGTCCATTCAGTCCATTTTCTTTAACTGACTGCATGCAGGTTAGGCAGGCATTTTGCATATAAAGCACTGCAAAGCTTATTTAATCTCTACACAAAGTGATATTGCAAGGTCCTCCCCCTGCACTGAGATTTTTCTCCCCTGCTCCAACTAGATGGATAGCCCTCTAGCCCTCTAATTAGCATGAGCAATGTTCCTCTGACCAAACCACTATCCAGTTCTTCCTTACACCGTGTGAGATGTGTGTGTGTGTGTGCGTGCGTGTGTGTGCACAGAGGTTATCTCTCTACTAACTCGGATGAAGCTACATCGTACCAAGGCATACAAATTCTCTCCAACGTTGTCCTTGATAATGAAGTCTTTAATCGGAACAGAATTTCAAACGATCACCTGAATTAATATTAACTGGTTTTCATTGCAGCTGTGCGAGTATCACAGTTTATCAGAGGGCCACTATAACACAGGGCGTAGTCACAAGCCAACCACCTATCGACTGTACTTTCACTATTTTCTCCCTCTTTTACCTTCAGTTTTTAACGAGGTAGAAACAAGAGAGAGCCCAGAGTTCTTTTCATGTTTTTGAAATCCCCGAAATATTTTCAATCATCTTTCAGTCCTGGCGAAATCCTTGGAAAAAAATGGTAATTTTCTGCAAAAGTCATTTAGAACTTCTTCTGAAATCAATTAATTGATCGATGCTTTTGCAACATCTGGAAGCTCACTTAGCATTATGTTTTTTTGTTCAAACCTGTTTTTGCAGTAATATGACTCTGCTGACATTTTAATATAGTATACTGTAAATGTATAGTACATGTATTCAACAGTAGACAGTATAGAGGCAGACAGGAAAAAAGAGGGAGGAGAGAAGGGGAATGACATGCAACAGGGGGCCCCAGCTGGAATCGAACCGGGCACTTTGTAGTTATGTGGTGTCAGCCTTGACCTACCATCTATTATAATGCCCTGCTGATTATTCTCTTAATTAATTGCTGAATTGTTTGGTCTATACAATGTGAAATATGTAGGTACAATTCTGTAAAGCTCAAGATCGTATCTTTAAATAGCTTGATTTGTCTGACCAACACCAGAAACATTCAAGCTGCTCAACCACAAATTTGACAAGCTAAAACAAGGGAGTGTTGGATATTTCTCCAAACAATTACACGCTTATCAAAACTAAAGCCAATTTTCCGTCTGCATACTAATTGATTAATGGCATGATTATTGCAGCGCTTGCCTCCTCTTTTGTTTTTACATATCTAATTCAAACACTTTTCATAACAGACAGACTATTTCCGCTGACTAATGCAGTTTTTAAAGGAAACTTCTTCATACTGATTTGTTGTAATCCTATTCGTCATTCATGCTCCAGTTTAAAGAAAAATGTCCTGGAAAATGACTTCCCAAAAGGAGCTAGAATGCTGATCACACTTCCTCTTAACAATGCTCTTTGTCTGCAGCCAGCTGAATGGTGGTTGAATTTGCAGTGTTGACATGTGTTCAATAGATAGGGGCCTTATTTGTGTGCCTCCCAACTCAAGCCCTTTTCTCAAATGCCAAATAAGTGGCTCCTGTGGTTTTGTCAGCCGTTCATACTAAGGTCAAGGATGAGTGCCCACTAGCCCTGCTGTCACCCCTCATCTACTGACTCACTGTTGATTGCTTGTCAGGAGATGGGCAGTGGAGGACAACACAGGAAGTTGCAAGCAATGTTAGAAGCCAGGCCAGAGGTTTGGTGTCACTGCAGGGCTTTCCGGATTCTCTGCCTGGTAATGTAACGACGAGTAGACAGCATCCCTGATTGTTCGTCTCTATAGCTTCAGCAAATGCTACTTCTACCGGAATGAAAATGCGGTGAGCAAATGAGGCGCGAGAAAACAGCTGGCAGGCAACATGGCAATGCAGAGTGATCGGCCATGGTAGATGATGTCTCACGGGCAAAGCATCATTTGCAATTTCCTTCTGTATGAAAGCTCCAACAAATCTTTTCTTTCCAGCATACACATTTTAGTCTCCGTCTTTGTTCACGTCTGAAATTAAGTCTTGAGAGATTTTCACAAAGGCAACATGGCAATTAAACCAGCTGACGCCTGTGTTGGTTATTCTTCCTGCGTCTGCAGCAGCAGTTTATTGATCAGTTGAGTGTGACCTTGGGTGGTAATACAAAGTCCTCACCTGAATTATTTCATGAAATATTCTCTGAGACCATATTTCATAGATTTTAAAAGACACTTTGGGTGTACACAGATCTTCCTTCCAACCGATAATTTGATGAGCAGATGGTAACCATTCTCATGTCAATTAAATATGTAGCTAGCCAGCAGCTACAAAGCGTTGCTTTGCATAAAGACTGGAAACAGCAGGCAACAGTTACTACTCTTTATACTTTACACTCCAGGAAGTTTGAGTTCGGCTAGCTGTGGCTAGCTAGCCTCTGGCTAACTAGCCTCTGGCTCCAACTTCATATTTATCGTACAGACAAGAAAGTGGTGTGAATCTTATTGTCAAACTTGAAGCGGGAAAGCAAACTCTTCCTTTTAACTATGTATGTTCTAACCTTGAACAACTTTCCTTCCCAGAGTTTGTTGTCATGTGTGGCCTTTGGCTATGGCTGTGAGAACTTTGCCAAGTACGAGGAGCAAGGCATCGGTATTCAGTGGCACAACATCAACAAGAGTCCAGAAGAGGGAGATCACTACACCTTCATCGTGTCCATCATCATGATGCTCTTTGATGCTGCCTTCTACTGGGTGCTCACCTGGTACATTGAGAATGTCTTTCCAGGTATTTTATTTTTAAGCAGATTAACTAGTATCGTGCTATTTGTACACTATCTACTTTACTCTTCTTACATGAGATCCTCTCCCCAAGCCCAACTTACGTCAATGCAGCCCTCTTAACAGGCTAGGTGTAATGCTTGTCTCATCAACTCTAATTAAAAGAAGATATGATTTGTGCTAGGCTCTCAAGAGGAAACATACACTGTGAAGTACAATGTTCCCTCAAGCTAAGCTGTTGTAATGTTCTCTACACTTGATGCCAGGCCAATATGGAATCCCGAAGCCGTGGTACTTCCCATTCACTGCATCCTACTGGTGTGGGACAGCTTCGGCGATTGCCATTGACCCCGGCGTGCTCAAGAACTCCACTGAACATAACGGTGAATTGCCATATCATTTTCAATTCTCTCCTTTGGAGTAACTGCAGTGTAACCTACGGAGTTATTAGAGGGAACATAGTCCTAATAAGAAGTGGAAGTTATTCGGAATGGGTCGCAAACAAACATTAACACCTTATTTTTTCACTGTGGGTGCTAATGGGAGTTCGGCGCTTTGTGAAGGTGAAGAACGTAGATGAGTTTCAAGTCTGGAACTTGTTAAAAAAATAACTGTTTCCAATTAACATTTAGAGGAGTGAGCTATTTTTGTCTTTTAGTCCTGAGCAGCGTTTCTTTTTACATTTCTAAAGGCCCAATCAGTGTTTTTGAAGAGAGAAATTAAAAGAATAATAACTTTTTTTATTCCAGTGGGTACAAATGTTACTGGTGTAAAAAAAACTTTTTGCAGCATCAATAAATATGACTAATTAAGTTGTTATCTTTTTATTTTTTATCTCAATCATACAATCGTGTTTTATTTATAAACCACCTTTCAAACAAATCAAATGCAATTCAAAGCGCTTTACGAATGATTTGACAATATGAAAACAAGATGAAAATGGAGAGAAGAGGAAGAAACTAATGCACACCAAATCATGTGAGGGAAAAAAAGAAATGTGTGTGTTTATGAATATATGCATTGTGTTTCTTAAGATTATCTGGAGAAACCATCACCCAATATGACAGCAGGGGTCTCAGTCCGCAATCTCGTTAAAATCTACAAGACGGGAAAGAAGCTCGCCGTGGACGGACTGAGTATGGACTTTTACGAGAATCAGATCACATCTTTTCTCGGCCACAATGGAGCCGGAAAAACGACCACAATGTGAGTTTCATTATCTTTTTCTCCCATGCTTCGCCGCTTGGCTTGTGTTTTCACAGGGTGCAACTAATCCAACAATGCCGACTGTACTGGAACTACATTAATGCGGTGGCCCCTGCTTTCAAAGAGTGACATCTTCTGAGAGGACATTTATCACACCGAGTCAGCCGTTGTTATGATAGCGGAACTTATCTAATTGCTGTTTGCATTTTTTGGAGGGGGGGGGTGAGGTTGGAAGGCCTTTAGAGTGACAGCAAATAACTGAAACCCAGTGGCCCAGAAAGAATGAGTGAGAGAGAGAGAGTGAGCAAGTGATGCAAGACTAAGGGCGGAAGGGAAGACATCCGCTCTGAGCTACTGTAACGAAACATAACCGAGCACAATAACAGAGAGGACAGAGGAAGGACTCTGTCACACACCGGCGCGCTGTGTGGATGCATTTCCACAGCACAGTATCTGTGAGATGCAGTGTTACAATTGAGCTCAGGCGCAAAAAACAAGCAAACATCTTGTAGCTTTTTTTTTTTTTTTTTTTAAATATACAGAAATCTTGTCACATCCCACATATAGCGTCCCACTATCTTTCACCAAAACACTCAATATTAAATGTATTTGAAGTGTTGTTTGGAAATGTTCTGCCCAGGTTAGTAACTAATTAATACATAATTATTGAGATGACAATGACAAGTTGATGGAGATGATATGAATAATCATTCTGTCACAGCAGCACAGCACTGGTTCCATTTTTCATAGTTTGTTTTATGAGCATTAAATCTAGCTTTATAATCAGGATTTTTGTGTCTTGTTTATGTCTTTTTTTTTCTTCTCTGTAGGTCAATTCTGACAGGACTGTTCCCACCTACATCAGGAACAGCTCTCATCAACGGATATGACATCCTTACTGACATGGACAGCATCCGAAAGTACTTGGGAATGTGCCCGCAGCACAATGTCTTATTCAACGAGTGAGTGAATTTCAAACCATCCCTGTTCTCCACTGATTATTAGTATAATCATGTTTTGCTTCTGGCGTATTTAAAAAAAAAAAGGAGGACATGGGGAAAAAAAAGATCATTATAGTGCAATTTGATAATACGCATAATGAGGGCTCAGTCTCGGGTTATGTTTCACATCAACACATCATTATCTCTTTCCCCTTTTCTCCCTAAATTTCTCTTAATGGCATTATTCCCAATCATTATTCAGTTTTTTTAATTCCACCTTTAGAGTCCCCTCTATTTCGCTCTCCCACAAACTGGTTGCCTGCATCGCGACACAAGTCTTACATCATAATTATGGCTGAGCACCTGCAAATTACTTTCATTAATATTAATCCCAGACAGTCAAAGCATCTACACTAAGTACGGGTTAAAATATTCATGAAAACATAGAGATAGACATATTATGATCCCACCTTTGAGGCAGTTATGATGAAACTCACGACTTTTCTTGACGTCACATCACAAAAGCGCATTTAGAATTGGAGCCAGATCGTCTTGCAAAAAATGCATAAATGTGACATTTTAGATATTTCAAATACTTGCATATGAAGTAGTGGCAGGTGATGGCCTCTTTTGTCACTCATGCCGCTTCACATGTCAATCAAATAGCTGTTGAGATGTTATTTTCACCTTTTGTAGACTGACAGTGGAGGAGCATATCTACTTCTACGCCAGGTTGAAAGGACTCAGCCGCGACGAGGTGAAAATTGAGATGGACCAGATGATTAAGGATGTCGGTTTACCACATAAGCGGAAGGATCTTGCTAAGAACCTGTCAGGTGTGTCTGAATGTGTGTATGTATGACATGTTTTGGATGTGTGTATTTGAGTTGATATTTGATTGAAATTATGCAGAGATGTAAATGTCGTTTTTGATGTGTTCATCAGTTTCTGTGCTCGGTGCGTTCATTTCCCCTGGGAAGGAATATCGTCGGTAGATTATCCTTTCTATTCAGGGTAAAGCTGCCCAGTTAAACATGCACATGCATGCAGCTGTCTCGATGTACACATGCACTGTACCTGTGTGTCACAGGTTGTAATTCATTGTCTAGGGGGCATGAGCAAGTCCTGCTTGATAAATTGTCCCCAGTCACGGATTGCTTGTGTGCAAAATCACTGAAATATGACTTTCAAGGTTGATCTATGCTGACATTTCCACTACATTAGCACTACAGTGGATGCATTTAGAAGAGCTCGCAGTGAGAGTGGAGACTGGAATAACCCAAGGAAGGTGTATCTGCCTCTGTGCTATCAATCATTTTACTCCATCATGCAAAAGACAATGAAAACCTGGAGAGGGACATCTTGACACATTTATTAAATAAACAGTTCTCAATATTGAGTCCATTCTACATCTAAAACCTAATGTTGACGGATGGTTGTGTAGGATTTGTCACTGGTAACAGGCAGAATACCCAGGACAAAGATGAGTATCCATTTCTTGTCATAAAAGCACCTGACCAAGACAAAATATATTACCAGGGTACCGTATCTGATGGAGATTGTTCTGTCTTCTAGGTGGGATGCAGAGGAAGCTGTCCGTGGCTATAGCATTTGTCGGCGGCTCAAAAGTTGTCATCTTAGATGAACCCACAGCTGGAGTGGACCCCTATGCCCGCAGGGGTATCTGGGAACTTCTGTTAAAATACAAACAAGGTATGGAACCGGTGGTAAGAACCAAGGCTCCACTGAAGGCTTTGAAATCCTCCATGTTTGTAGAATTGGCTTGAATTCACAGAGTGCATGTTTGGTCTGTTTCAAGCTGAGAAAACTTTCCAAAACTAAGCTGAGTTCAAGGTAGACTTTCAACTGTAACGGCTCATATATATCCAACATGAAAGCTGTTAAGGTAATGAACCATCTAGATTTGCCAGCACAATTAATTTTTTTTGTCCTTTTTTTTTTTTTGCCTTGCTTTGCCCTCTGTGGGTGGAGAGAAATTATAATTTGTACTGTAACATTGAAATGGAAGTAAAGACAAGTGAATCCAAGAAGCTTTAATTGACATTGCTATTTAACAGAGTCTCTAATTGTCTGCTCTATCAGTCTGCTTGTCACTCTCTGGCCTTATATACTTTGTGGTTGCTCGTGGCTTTAAGCAGGACATGGACATTATAGTAAGACACAACTCTCAACAGATGTCTAAATGTTTAATGTGCATTGAGTGACATTCCGCCCTCGCTGTGTCGTTAGCTTCTCTCTCTCTCTCTCTGTCTCTCTCTCTCTCTCTCTCTCTCTCTCTCTCTCTCTC